TATAGGTAATATGTTGAAAAAGAAACAAACAATTACACAAACAAGTTTATGTGATGTTTTATCTTAATAAAAACATATGAATGGATGCACTTGATCACTTTTTGAATCATTTGGTCCATTTTGCACACATGAATGTTAGAAAAATTTGCTTCTTGTCATGAAGCAAAGCACATCTTGTTCTTTTCAAATAGGATCTTGATTTATTGACTGATATAAGAATTAGCAGCATGGCGCAACTTTTTATTCAATGAAATCTTTAACTAGATCTTTGATTTTCTTTCTGAAAGATTGATCATTTAAATTACATTAAGTAAAATAATTTTTTAATACTCATTTATCATAGAAGTGAATTGATGTGATTAACTTTTCAGTTTCAATCTAACTAGTGTCTTTCAATCCTTTAACATAATTATAGACAATTGTCATTAGATGAAAATTTGTTGTAAACATGGCATTTGATGCTACTGAATATTGAAATTGAACTCTAACATTATGAAAATCTGAAAATATTATGATCAAAGTAATGTTTATGTTCTTGATTGTTTCTAGCACCTTAAATAATAACGTTAACAATCTTTATGTAGCAAAAATTTGAATTCTACAGCTAAAAAATTAAATAATACTATGATCAAAATGATAAATAAGTTTTATCAGTCTCTCTCACCTCAAAATTAACGTTATTTGAAGAATAACTTCAAGGCAAAAAATGAAATTTCACTCGTTTAGACAAATTATGAGTATTTTATTAAGGGGCAGACTAGGGCCACACCCGTTTTTGCTACGGCCACACCCGCTACATACAAACAACTGATTGCGCGTCAAAGCACGCCTTTCCTTAAACCCAGCTGCTAAGCCGAGCTCGTCCGCGAGGCAGAGGAGAGCGTAGTCGAGAGGCTTTGAGGGGCGCAGGGCCGCTGCGGCCGTCGCTGTCTCCCGCGTTGCGCTTGGGTAGTAGCAAAAGCGGGCATGGGCATGGTTATTAGCAGGCGGGTGTGGCCGTAGCAAAAACGGATGTAGCTCTAGTCTGCCCCTTTTATTAAAAGTATTAGTTCATGGTTAAATTTTTTTGTTTCCTCATATGTAACCGCAAAATTCATCAATTTTATCCACAAGTCACAAGTTGAAAATTTGATCTATGAGAGTGGAAAGTTTTAACACAATATCTGCCAATTCAATGCAAATTACATTTAATCTTTAACTATGAACATTTGTAGTCCAAATTTGACTCTATCAATTCATCAAGATCAAGTTGCAAAATAACATATATAATCAAAAAATCATTTGAATATGATACAATCAAATTTATATACTTTTTTCATAAAAGTTGATTTTATAATTTTGAAAGTCAAAGTTAGGCAGGATGCATATTAAAATAAATCAATTTAGCAAATTATCAATCAAAATATGAGTAAGTATCAAATATGAATCATTGCAAAAGATCATCCAAAAATGAAAAAATCGTGATCTTTCCACTCATATCAAATGTGTCTATTATTGTTGAAATTTTGCATATAATACAAAAATTTGAAATGATCGATTATGATTTGTATCTATAGATCTCAAACATTGCATTTGTATACTTCATTTGATTTATTACATGCTTGATCTAAATTTTGCATCAATTCAAGTAGACGAATTGCACATTATCATACTAAAAAATATGTAGGCAAAGCATTTACCAAAGAAAAATATCACTCGATGCAATTGTATTACATACAACTCCAGTAATTGAGTTTGACAATATGTAAGATATTATAATTATAAAATCAGATTTGGTAAAAAACTTTACCAAACAGTTAAATATGATGATCTAATTATAATTAATTTAAGCTAATCATGATCAAGATTAAATAGTAAATTTATTCTTCAAAAAAAATAAAAATTTCTTTGAAATTATGAAATATTATTATTTTCATTTATCCAAAATTATAATTCAAATCAAGAATGATTTAGTAAATTTTTGCTATGCTGATTTTGATTAAATTTTGATTTTATGTAACTTGATTAGTTGGATTAAATGTAAAATTAACTAAGTGGAAAATTAAAATTATAGAATTTTTATGATATATAATAATAATAATAATTTAATATGAAGAGTAAAAAATTTTAGGGCTTTCTGCTGATGGCATGTTGTTATATAATATTTTAGAGTAGTATTATTGATATCTATCAAGATTAATTTCAGTGAAAATAAGTTAGATAATATTCAAAATTAATTACATAATAAATTTATTGAAATGTATTAAAACCTATTTTTTAATACAAAATTTTTGAATAAAATTCTAAATAAATTTAGAAAACCTATTGTGTGAATAATTGATTCAATGATGAAGCTTTATCTCTTTGAAATAATTTTGAATCTTTTTCAATTTGTAATAATTCATGAGAAACAATTTTCTATCTGATTATGAAAAAAAAGGGGATGTAAGAGACTATTTAGTAAAAAACATGTAGGATGAATATCAACCTTTTATATTCATGATGAGCTACCAAAAGCCATATGAAGTTAACTTAAGTGAGCTTTACTCCGTAAATCAAAGTTTACTGAATCTAGCTATAGATAATATTTCTTCACAATATGACTTGGTACCTTTATGTTCTTCCTGAAACAAAAATAATCCAACTTTTGTTAAAAGTTAAACCTATAAATAAAATCTAAGAGATTACAAGTTCCACATGATAGATTTCAAAAAAATGTAGACTCTTATGGCAACACATTGCAAGCTTTGTGTAATTTTAACTGCAATAAAACCTATTACAAATATCATATAAAAAGACGTTAAACAATCATATGTATTTGATGATATGCATAAAAATTGATATGGACAAAGTAAACAAATACAAGTCAAATCTAAGTAACGTGCATTGATCTTTTAATTAAATTTTCAAATATATCAATGATACAGAAGATGATGATATTTTTTTCAATGGTGCAAAATCCTTGTTAGCATATGTTGATGTGATTATGGAGAAAATTTTAACACAAAAAAATTAGAACTAGATAAGTGTTTATACTCTCAATGAATCAATTGGAAATTTACTTTGCAAAAATAGACTTGTTACATACTTGGATAGAGGTGGAATACGGTTTAGATGATTAGATTTATCATGATGATGAGATTGAAACAAGATGTTGTCAATGTTTAATTTGATTTCAAATGCATTACATTTTATAGCAAAATAAATTATGCATAAATGGATGAAAACATCAATATCAAATTTTAATTATCATTTTACCAGTGATGCAATTTTTAATAAAAAAGTAAAGCAATTCAAGATTGTCAATAAACTCATTTGAGTTGATACACTGATCAAATTTATTTATTTTTATAAAGTTTTAAGAAATCTCATGCTACTTTGCAGGTTTTACATACAAAACACAAGCAGAGTTTATCAATAAATAAATAAATAAATATATTCTCTAAAATGTTTTAGAAAAATCTTAGTTCCAATTGATACTAGATTAGAGAATGATTCAAGGTTAGTTGTAGAATTTGTTGTAAAGTATTTATATAATGTATAAAGTTTATGATACTCAATATACAAATCAAGGAAAATATCATTAGCAATTTATTGTGGTTTTGGTTGGTTAAACTTGGTTAATCATCACCTCTACAAAAGAGCTGATTGAGGCTTGTACGGACTGAAATCTTATAATTTTTTTGTAAAAAACTTGTGATTTCATGAATGTAGCCTAAGTAAAATCAATCATGTGTTTTTTCTGTTGGCTAATTGTGTTACAATTTTCTATTGTGATAAACACACGATAAAGAAAATGAATTGTCAATAAATGAAAATTGTATATAGAGTTTAGAGCTTACTTTAAAAAATAATAATTATACTCATAATTTTTTGTAAGAAAATAATTACAATACCTATTTTTGTATGAATGAAATTGAAACTTTTTTCTCTATAAATACTTCATCTAACAATGTTATTGTCAACTTTTCAATCATAAATTATTGAAGATAGAAATTTAGTAGATGTTAATTATTAACAACCACAAAGAAAATAACCAAACATGTGAATGATGTAGCTAAGAAACATGTCATTTGGATCAAGTTTTATCAGTATTTCATATCATAGTATCCATATCACAACTTTACAACATAATATATGAAACTCATCAAAGTATATTTTACATGATTTTACGTAAGTCCAAATCTAAAGCAAAAAATATGAACATTTTTTTTATAAATAATGTATTTGGATATATATTGGTAGTGTTGCTCCACTTGCCATTTATACAAGAGTAAGTATGATGAACATTTGAGAATGAATCAGTTGTGAGACTATGACTTGTAGCATCATTACTTCATACTTTGGTCACATTAAAGAGTATGCAAAGATATCATTTCATTGCTACTCTGACCCTGATTTATAAAAAAATCGTAGTAAAAAATTTATAATTCTTTGACATTGCACCATAATAAATTATATTGTATTTATATTTATGATATTTACTAGCCAAATACTTTAGAGATGATAACAATCATAATAAATAATACAGAATTTATGTGCTATTATTATATATGTCAACAGTTTCAATAAAAAATTTATGCGGTATTATTGTATATGTCAGCAGTTTCAATATGGAATTTACTACTATATATATCAGTAATTTCAATACAGAATTTATGAGTACTATTATATATTTCAGCAGTTTCAATATTGATGAATTTTAAAAATTTATTTGTATGAAAGATAATTCTCATAAATATAATATAACAACGAAATCATTGGTTTCCTACTTCACTTCGCCTCGATCCATAGGCCCCACTTGCAATTCAGGCCGATTTGCAAATAATGGAGCCTGAACGTGAGGACGAAAGTAACTCAGACATTTAACTCGTTCATCGAGCTAGGGTGAGACATGGGAGTCGCCGCGATGCTGATCCACCGAACGAATTCGAACGACTCCTGGAATCTGGGATTGTACCTGTCTGCAAGCCAGCACCGGAGAATGGAATAAATTTGGATGCGGGCACGAAAATCTCTTTATACGCAAAAGAGCCAAGGACAACAGAGTCAGATGCGCAGTACGTCCTCCGTCTTCAAAGCAGAGACCGCGAAATTCCGCATCCACGCGAGACCGAAAGAGGTCTACTCCGGATCGATCAGTAGGCGTCTCATCAAACTGGACCCACCGAAGAATGGTACAGTGTACACCATTTTTCCCTCCAATTCCGATATCATGGACTGACTCGCTCTTGCATCGAGCTCCCCGAGAGTCGAGACCGACCAACATACAGCACTTGGAGAACACCGAGGACGGGAAAACCTCCTCCGTGAGATACGACAAGGCAAACCAGCGCCCGATACGACAAGACAGTCGATCCCCGAGATCCTCTTGACATGCAGAGAGTTTTGCGCTTGTGAAGGCATGGATCGAAGCAGGAATGGATGTCGTGGCCGGTTGACCCCACTTTCCCCATTGAGCTGCAGCAGATTTCTTCTGTCGCCAGAGGGCCACGCATTCATACCGTCCTCACTCTCTGGCTGGAACTTCCGGATTGAACCAAAGATGGCTTTCGCAACCGATCTATCGAGGGGCTGACTGTCAGGAGAGGCGGGCTGGGATCGTCATCGCCACCCTGTGAAATGCTGTGAGCAATGAACGATTCCCGAGAGAAAATGTCGACTGCCAGGGGTAACTGCCGAGCACATGATTCGTGTCTTATATTGTGGCCTTATAGTGCATCCGCCTGACTCCCCTCGCGTTCTCTCTCGCCACAGATGTAATATCCCGAGTCTGCACTGGACACTGTAATGTTCTTGGGATGTAGCGTCGTAACTCTCTCTTTCTCGCTCTCTCAAGAAGCTAGACTGCGCCGTCGCTGCTTTAAAAAAAAAAAACCACGCAGAAGGAAGCCAACATGGGCATCCAAGGCTCGCCCTTTGGTTGGCTTTCGGTCTGAGCGACAGAGAGAAAGTAAGAATAAATACATGTTGAAGAAGTGTTTGACTATTTCTCAGACTCCACCCTACCTGCTTCCAAACAAACCCCCTCTCGAGTTCCGGGGGGCGGGCGGGGATTTCTTCAGACACGACACAGGAAACCATGCAACAGCCCATCAGCGCCCAGCTCTACAGAGGGGCGCACATTCACTCACAGCCCCACGAGCTTAACAGACATGCCATCCTTAGAGATTTCCTCGAGTTGAGTTGGGACGTGGAGAGTGTGGATTCAAGGAGGTCCACTTGAGCATGGCGGAGTATTTACGAGCAAATTTAGCAGAGAATGCCTTCCATTGGCTCAGAACTGACGCAAGCCTGCGCCGTGCAGTTATGTTTATGCCAGATGCGACCATTCTGCATCTGTAGTAATCATCGTGTTGCCAGGAGTTCGGCACTTTTCATTCAGGCTCTTGAGCTGGAACCTGCATGCAGAAGTTATTGCAAGGCATAATAAGGAGGGAGTAAGATACCAAAATGGATCAGACAACCCCTCAAGTAGCACAGTGATTCTATCGGGGCTAGACCCCGATAGAATCACTGTGAGAAATATTTCCTGATGCACTTTAGATAGCAATTGGTGCAAGTGGCATGTAATGTGAGATACAGTCTGGCAAGAGTCTACGCATTTGCTCCTGCTCCAACGGCAATCTTCGGCCGGCACCAACCCATCTCCGGTGGACAGGTTTGGACCACCACCTCGAGGGCAAACGTCACCACCATAAGTGCAAGTAGCATCACCATCACCTCGAGAGCTTCCAGCTTCCAGCTTCCACTATCCGTCGAAGCCTAGCAACAGGGTCAGTCCCATGGCCGGCAGAGTGAGCTAAGTCTCTGGTGGGCAATTTGTTGGCATTACACAAAGTCTGACACCTTTGTGTCAATATGCACATTAAGAGTTTCCAATCACAGCATTACAGCGCAGCCGACTGCAACCCACGCGATTATGTGCAGCTTCGACGTTGCGTACAGAGATGAGGAATACGATGCGTATATGCCCTGCAATGTGTACATACTTGCTGTGGCTTTGTGTGACCGATCCATCAGGCCGATCCCAAGGTGCTCAAATGAACAATATACTGGCCGTTCCAAATCTGCCTTTCCTCCTAGAGACAATCCATCTCGACTGCTGCCGTCTCGAGGATTCAACAGCATTGCATCCTGACCTAACAAAAAGAACACAACATTAACGACTTGCTTATCCACATGATCGACAAGCAGTCCAGGACTTGAGAGAGGGTTGAAGCACTCTAAAGTCCTGGACTGCTTAGATAAGAGATCTTTCTTCAGCTTTAAGCTCTCACAATGCAGTTGGTGGTTGTCACCATGGGAAAGGTTGCTCGAAATATACTAGGAAGCCAGATCAGACACGTCACGCAGCTGAAACAACGTAAACACATTCAACAAAACAATAACCTGCCCCTTTAAAGCCTTGAAAGCTTGCTCATTCGTCTTCGGAACACAACGTTGTAACACCTGTCTTGCTCGACAGGTACTTTTTGAATACGAAAGTAGTTACAGGCACTATACAGGGCTGTAGAACCATAATTATCACGCCGGAATCGTACTCAGACAATGCCAATAAGATATAATACAGAGAGAGGTTCCTGAACATTACGTTTGAACGGACCTAGCAAATTTCTGATGTCACGGTGCAAACCCGGGAAGCCTTCATGATGTTGTCTGTTCATGGAAATTGATGTCATAGCTCGAGTTCCGAAACTTCAATTACACACAAAGAGATCAGTCTGACACTGCCATACCAGCCAGAGTGACCAAATGAAAATATGACAGACGCATTATCACAATACCCTGGGTCAGTCCATTGCAGTTCCACATAATGACGCAAAATTGCGCGAATAATAGAATTCCTTCATATAATAACTAACGAATCACAGCACCATGATGATTGAAACTCATTGCCCATTAAATGTAGTCGAGGGGCGGCCATCGGATGTAAACTCCGAACCACTCCAGATCAACAGATCGACGTGTGTAAACATACAGATATACTCAAATCCCTCATACTCTTTTCCTCCTCTCCAAAAAATAAAATTTACAAAAAAGTTATCCAAACTCAGGCATGTATTGCAAATGAGGCAAAAACAAAACAAAACTTAAATATCTACATTGCGCGAGGAATGATTAGAATCGTTCACTTACATGAACGAATGTCATCATATATGTGAAATACCTCTTCAAGTTGGAGTGTACAATGATTGCATCAGAAGTTTCAAAGGGCAATGCGCCCATGGTTTTACATACCTGCTAATTGGCAAAAACCGCTAAAAGCTACAAAGACTTACCTGATTTTCCAGCAAGGAACTTGTTCAAATCTGGCCTTGGCCACCATCGACACCTGGGCACAAAGGCACAAGAAACCTACATTTGCTAGACCAAGAAGGCAGATCAAACACTTGAAAAGTGTATTTCATTCCCTAGCACAAAAACTGAACCAATATACACCGACAAACTGGAACTCATTCGCTGTGCATAAGCAGATTTTGCGTCTCTTAGATGATGTTCCCTACTGGATTCTGGTAACCACCGTTTCCAAGATGACATTGATCTTATAGAGGGACTCCCTCAAATGGGTAACAACCATCAATTTTTTGTTTAGAGACGGCAATTGGCGAAGCAATTGAGTTGCGTCTGAAAGGTGCGATCTCCGAGATCGTCAGTTTGTGACGAAGTTTTAGTTTGATCATCGCAGTTACACGGAGCGATTTTGTAGACCTCCACTAGATGGTAGGAAGAATTTAGAGCGCTTGAACTGAACGTGACTTAAAAACATAAATGCATATACTAAGGGATGTATGGTAAGCCTTGATAAACATGCTACCAAACTGTACTCGGAGATCTACAGGTTTACTATGAAAGAGGATGGTTCGCCTTGTTCTGCCAAAGGAAAATCCTCAACAACTGGTTTAAACTATACACAGAGGTCTGAATTTGATGACCTGAATCCAAGTAAGGAGGTCTGAAAAGTGAAAAACAGTCTTCAGGCACAGGACACTGATACTCAACTACAACGTAAACAATCAATCACAGACGTGTGCATGTGAGGTCGAAGTCGTCAGGAGCTATCCGTAAAATCCAAGCACTCAAGGTCCTCTTGGATTCGACGCTATTCATGGAAGCCAGCTCGTACATGCTACAAAGATTCAGCACCAAGGTCTCGTTTAGAGCAGTCAACGGATTTTTCTGGAGCGCAGTCTCTAAAACTTGCGTAGCACCGACAAGGTCTCTGGAGTACATCAAACAGAGAGCCTGCAGAGTAGGGGACAAAAGAGAAGCTCAATTTAGTTGTATTACTCTCACGAAGAATATCCCAACCTTCAATGTAAAACTACGGAGGACTGAAGCGATACATCGGCAAAAGCTTGAAGCAACGACGAACTTACGAGCTGAGTCTTACGGTCGGTATGACTTTAGGTGAAAGAAATTTGTAAGAGAAGAAAGATTAGTTCTGTCCACCCAGAGGGGTAATAGGTCACCTTATTGTTGGCTGAAACGACATCCCCAGGATCGAGTTCCAAAACGGCGTCGAATTCCTTCACGGCTTTGGGATACTGCTTCAGAGAGAAATAGAGAAGGCCTCTATTTCGAGATATTAGACTGGCGATCAACGAGCTTCCTGACCGTCCTTGCTGCTCACAGATAGCCTCCACTGTAGCAAATGTTCGCCTGGCACCGTACAAGTCACCCAGTTGCAATTGCACGTATCCATATTTTGACAGCACCACAACGTCATGTGTCCTCTTCTTCACAAGGTCCTCTAGCCATTTCAGACAAATGATGTAATCCTTTTGGTTCAAATGATGGCCCAACACCGAGCACAACACCACCTCTTGCCGGCGCCTCCAACGATTCAAGAGGGTGCAGTAAACTGTGTTCCCTTCACCAACTGAGCTGGTAACAAATTCACCGAAATCATCGTCCTCTATGACTTCAGAAGGCATAAAATTGCTTCCTACATCAGAAAGTGCAGGCTCTTCGCTGGGAAGCTCGACGTGCGAAGGACTCATTGACCCATCTTCTTGTACTGGCGCTATGACGGTGACATCCTGCTTTTGATCGGTTGACAGGACAGCTGTCGGGGTGGATTCCTCTGTAGCCGCCTCTGTTTCGCGCTTTGCAAGCTGATCCATCGAGTTCTGCAGAAAATCTATCTGCAGGTTGTGACAACAATTTCTGAGTTGAAATTCTAGAATCTTACAAGCACACAACGGCAGGTGGCAAGATCCTGATTTCGTCACTTACCCGTTCGTTACAATGAGCTAGAAGGTCATAGAGATGATCAATCGTCGTGGTAGTATGTCCGAGTCGATGAGGAAGCTCAGCGTGTAGCCACCTCAGAGCAAAAGGCACCATCGAACCTGCGCAATGCACTCATCGTTAAACCCTTTGAATGTCCTCGATATATAGAAACAATTCTTTCAAATTTTCTTTCTGAATTCGATTGTATTAGAAGCAAAAGTTGCAGAAACAAAATCGTAGACATAGTAAAGTACAAAGACGGGTTCACTAAAGGGTGACGGATAATGCAATTACATATCAGAGACGATTCGATCCTAGAAACGAAATCTTAAAACCTGTTGGCATAACAATGTGGTAATTGAGCTTCCGATTGGTTTGGTTCGAAAACTCGAGGTAACTGTGCCTGAAAGTCTTGGACTGTATGGAACCTTGAAGATAACTTTCCAATAACACGACCTAATCGGTAGCGCAACTTGAGAAGATTCAGAGAGCATCAACTTTCATTAAAGAGGCGTAAAGTAAAAAGGCATTGATGCATCTGCTCGGCTCTGAAAGGGAACTAATGGTGAACAAAGACAGCTGCTTCATGACCAGAATATATACTACCAACGACTGCGATTCATGAATCAGTACTGTCTACAGTTCTCTTGTTAGCATAATTGAAACTTGGCACCACTCTCCTGACCACTAGAAAAAGGAGAAAAACCATTCCAATTGAACGAGGTCTAAGTAGCTGGCACTCGATCCATACATACACGTCTTCCAAGAATCTGTTTTATATTTGTAAAGGAGAAGCACACCTGTCTTGCCCGGATACATATCACCGTGATGCTCATATCGAAATTTTTTTGACTTGAGATCACCAATGGCAGCGAGTTCCTCGGCAGCAACAGCATAACTCCGCAATTTCATCAGGGCTAGAACATGATACGTCGAGTACACCAGTTGCTCGTCTGGAAAATGCAACATGGATCGTTTCTTGGCCTCCTTGACTTTGTCAGCTATGGCTCGCCAAAAACCTTGCCTCTGATTGTAAGAAAATCGGAACATCAAAACCCCAGAACCCACAAGGCGATTGAGCTAAAATCTCATCTCGTCCCAACGGGCCAGAACTCGCATGGAAACCACATGGAACGTGGAAGAAATTCAACCTCATGAGCTCTCGCACAATTCCTGCGCAATTGCCGCCGACGCCTCGCCCTCGATTCGCCAGTGGGAAATCAAGTCCAAAACCAAAGCTCAGGGTAGGGCACAGAACAGAACGAGCTCACTCACCATCAACTGTTGAAGCCCGGCCAGATCGGACGAAGCATCCTTCACCGAGAGCCTGCGGAACGCGGCGGCCGACGATCGGGCATCGAAGGCATTGGCATCCCAGCTTTTCCTCTCCTCGCGAGAAGGGCCTCGGAACGACGAGACGGTCTCGGGAGGAGAGGAGGTGGCCGAGGCGGCCGACGAGGCCGAGACGGAGGGGAAAGGCGGAGAGAACGATTCCGAACTCGAACTGAACGAGTCGCCATTGAAATTGCCCCCGATGTTGTTGTTGTTGTTGCTCGCTCGGGGAGGCGACGAGGCTGGAGGATCCGGCATCAGCGGATGATTCATGGCGGCGGCAGTAGCAAAGGAGTGGCTCCGCTCGAGGCGCCTTCCTCCCACGGCCCCCAAGCCTCCCAATCCCGCGACCACGCCTCGAAGGATGCCTCCCCCGACAGCTCCCAATCCCAATCCTGCGCCCGCTCCCGCTCCCGCTCCCGCTGCTCTGTAGCGCCTCTCGAAGCCGTCCGCGCTCTCCAGCCTCGCGCGCCCGCTCTGCGACCGCTGCAGCAGAGGACTCAGCGGCGTCGACATTCAGGCCTCGGGCTCGGGCTCGGGCTCCTCCCCGTTCCCCGTTCCCCGTTCCCGGTCGCCTTGTCCTTTACCTCGTCCTCCGTCCGCGGCACTTTCTGTCAGTCCTCCTTCTGTCTCTGCGTTGCGTCGCTGCCTTGAGCTTCCGCCTGCTTGTCGTTTCCCTCGCTTCCGCGCTCCTGTCCAAACTCGTGAGCTTCGTCGTGCTTGAACTCCAGCAGCCCACGAGCAACTCTTCCTCTCTTCCTCCTCTTCGCACGAGAGCATCAAACTACACCCCGACCTTGACTTGGCTTGCCTTCACGCCGCTGAGCTGCTACAGCAGCGGCAGAGCTGCCCGGGGTTGGGATCGACTGCTGCAAGGTTTACATGAATGAACGTCACGGCGAGCGGGCCTGCGTTTTCTCTTTTGAGATCGCGATGCTCCGGTTTTCGCCGGGAGCCATTCCATTGATGAATTCATCTGGTTTCAGCCCACCGAACCCCCACACACAAACGCTCGCTCGCCTGCCGACTGCTCTTCTGCACTGTTGTCACTTTTTAATGTATTGTTTGTTAGAACTCTTGGGAGAAAATTCCTGCAGTTTTTTATTCACAATCAGTGGTGACAAGTTGTTTGTTGATGGAGCCTGGTATGATTGCTCGCTGCACTCGACTGTGCTGCCTGCAGAGAGTTTTTTATGCGGGATGGTAACCAAGTGAGGAAAGCTTCGTGGACGTAGTGACATGTCCCAGTGACCGCAGTAGGAGGGTAACACTTGGAACTTGATGCGCTGCCTTGACGTGAATGGAATGACACCTTACGATACAAACTGCGATGTTTGAGCAATCGGAAAATCATGGACTTACCATAGTAGTAACCATACAACTCACACCACATGCGGAGGGAGGAAAGAAGATATAGGCTCGAATGAAGTATCAGAGTCTTTTGCTGGCATTCGTCTTCATACATCACTTGAGGATGTACTCAATGGATTCCGAAGTCATCCACGATAGACGCAGAGAACGATAAGTTAACAGTATGTAAAGGTGCCCTACGACATCGTGTATAATCGATGTTTTCATAAGCGTTTAAAAGCGAAAATAATATGCCAGGCAAAGTTCTTCGTGTAGAGATGAAGCATAAGGGAAGGAAATTCGTTATGTTCGAACGACCATGGGTTCTATGAAGCTGTCAGATGGGCATGGAAGGGGCCCTTGTTCAAAGGTACACTTGTTAGTGTGGGCATTGTTCCCAGTGGAGCTGACATGCTCTTTGGGTTCAGGTTTAGTTAACTGGTCAAATCTGAATGTCCATCCTTTCATGCTTGTTGAAGATATCCGAAGGCTCAGTACAAGGTGGGGAAATCTGTGGAGCCAAAAAGGCTTCCGGCGATGGTAATCTGATTGACAGTACACATGTATCCACGATACAACCGTGTGACAACTAGACGATATACTATGGTTCTCCATCACGAAGCGATTCAGAAAACTTTCCCGTGGACAACCTCTCACGAGGGTGACACGAGCAATCGAGCTATTTTCTTTATTTGAACTCATTTTATTGTACAATTCTCGCATTTCATTTGCTCTTCCTGCTTGGCGATAAAGGAGCAATGCTATTGTGAGACGAACAACGAACCTCCTCCTTCCTCAACTAAATCTTTTTTCTTCCAAAAATCTTTTAAGCATTTCTGCTTGCTCCCAATTTTCTACCGCCTCCCCTTCCCGGAGCTTTTACCCTTACCCCCACCGGATTTAAAAGAGCCTCCTTTCCCCACTTTCCTCGGTCCACCGGGTTTACTTCCACCTTTCTTCTGATCCTTACCCTTTTTCGCCAGCTTGGACTTCATAGCCTTCTTTTGCCTATGTTTCCGAACCTCCTCAACACCTCGAAGTTCGTTCTTGGCATCCGCATTAGCCACAGGAGCACCCTTCCGCTTCCTTCCGGCCTGTGCTCCTCCTCTATCACTCGAGCCACCTACTAACACAAGAGTGACAAACCATGATCAGAAAGGCTTCTATTAATTGCGAGTTGGTTGACAAGAGTAACTGACGAGAAGATATTCATACTCACACGACGTCTTACTAGAAGAAACGAAACACTTCCTTCAGAGATTCAGTACCCAAGGTGGCCACCAAACACAGACCGCTTTTCCTGCCTGGACTAAAGATTGGTGGGTGCTAGAGACAGTAAGTACCTCGTGAATCGCCACCTCCTTCCTCTCCTAGAGTTGTAACCTTCATGTGGGTACGCTCCTTCCATCTCTTGTACATGCCCCTGTTACCAGCATTGACCTTGGCACCACTCTCGGTTTTGATCTGCATAAAGTAGGACGATAAGCAACAGGAGGTTTCCAGACTGATGAGCCAGCGATTCTTCTATCCACTAAGTTGACGACAATGAAAGCATGAAAGCTTCAAAGAGTTGTTCCTCTTCAGCGTTGAAAAGTCATCGCACAAATTCCCAACACACCTTGCCGCTTGCGCTGACAGTCTCCCCGCGATTGAGCTTCACGTACTTCTTTCCTTTCTGCAAACCCGAACGAAAAGCTCATCAGGCGACGATTTGATTGGAAAGAGGAAGATGGATACCAATGTCAAGCACATCATTTTCAGTAACGAGCATCACCGGTCGTCCACTGACCAGAAGATTGGACGGTACCTCTGCTGGAGCTTTTATCTTCTTTACAAACCTAAGTGAGGAGAACGGAAGTACTTCAATTCAAAAAAGCTATACCTTGTCCCAATGGTACGTAGACTTTTGTTTTTGTTGACCAGCTGCATCGTCGGCTATAAGGTCGAGCACTTCGGTATCCATTCTGTGCAAAAATTGCGATTTCGCCATCAGTTCAAATGAAACACGAGGTGCCTATCAAACAGAATTTCAGGGTATATTGGAAAGAAAAGACTCCACACCTGCTCGGCCCACTTTTATCTCCTCCTCCTTCTACAGACAGACCCGCCTCGAAGTTCTGCGCAACGATAAAATCGACGCAAGCTATATTACCAACCTTTGAGCAAGGTAAAACAATATGTTCGATTGAATGATGCAAGCAACAACGGTTCGAGGACAAAATATGAAGAGATCAGAGGCTAAAAATCCACAATGGTCACGAGCGTCAAGCACCAAGAGCAATGTCCACATGGGAGAGATGCGTCTCCTGGCTGTTCTCACTCACCCTATTCGTGGGGATTCCGCTGATGTAGAACTCCTCGTCTCTGTAACTCAAAGGCTTTTTCTTGCCACCTTCGAACGGCACAACACACATTTCAGAAATGTGACGCAGTGCGACCAGAAATAAAAACCGAGAACTGAGCATTAACTAACTAGACCTTCTTGCAGACTACGACTGTTGATGATAGTTACTTTTCTGGCGTTCGTTGCAGATTAGTACAGAGGAAAGTAAAAATTGCAATTGAAACATCAGTTTGATTCCCTTAGATAAAAAGCAAAACTTGGCTGTAATCAGCATCTGCGTTTTGCCAAGAAGAGAACATCAGGTTGTCGACGTGTGATTCAAACTCACCTTCGACACTTTTCCTTCTCTTACGAGAAGGAAGATCTGCGCCAGGAGGTTCCTCTTCTTCTAGCTCCTGAAGTAGGAAACAATGATCCACTCGTAAGCACTTCCATGAGGGCAATAAGGTAAAGACAAAATCAGCTGCCAAAGAGAGTACCCCACGCTGAATGCGAACTGCACGTCATCACACTTACCGGGAAAGACTGTTTGGCAGCTTTAAGGGTTGCCTCTTTCTGCTGAGCGGCTACGATGACATGCTCATGAACTTGTCGTTTTCTTTTCATTACTTCGACAACATCGGCCAGTATCGTCTGCAAAAAGTTCGAGATGTGTGAGATATGAACGCTTGCCTTCACAGAGGTACAAGGCAGTTATGGCCAATGGCTTTTTCCAAATTTGGAAGTCAAAAGTGTCACTGCGCAGCTTGCCAGGAACATTTGATTTCGTATCTGCATACCTTCTTATTCTTCCCCTTCGCAGCCTCAGCTTCAGATTCCAGGACCGTCTGTCGTGGCCTGCAAGTTTCAGCACCTTCAGAAGTAAATACCCAGCGCATTCCAATAACATTCCTCAACTGACTATACACTTCAAATTGAACAGGAAACTTGATATATACACCAATACAGCGTACTTGAATTAAAAAATTCGACCCGATTTCAACCTGTAAGCTCTGACTCGTTCGGCAAAGGCTGCAACATCTGCTTCCGCTGCTTTAACTGCACTTCTAAGCATAGGATGCAGCCCTTCACGTGGCAATGCTTTTGCTCGCTTGCAAGATTCGAACGAGGCAGCAGGCCTCGTCTTCGCGTACAACCGAAAAGCGTTTGAACATGCCTTATGTAGGGCAACCAGCTCGTTGCCGTGATTGATGACTTCTCGTAATCTGTCCATATGCAAATCTAGGATTGCCTGAGGGAAACGACCATACACTGTTCCCCTTGCGTTTGCCTCGTCCATAGTCTCCTGGGTCTTATCCCTGTTATCCTCGAATTCCTCTTCTGACGGTGCTGCCTTTATGGGTCTCGACAAAAAGAGATGGAGATCCAAAAGGAAGGGCATTTCATCCGAGGTGACGAAAGAGAAAGATGTACCAGTCCGCCCAGCTCGAGCAGCACGTCCAACTCTGTGCACAAAAAGCTTGGGCTTTGGGGGAAAGTCGTAGTTGATAACGTTGTCGAGAAGGGGTATATCTATACCTCGAGCAGCCACATCCGTCACAAGCAGAAGCATAGTCTTCCTGGCTCTAAACTTCGCAATGTGTATGTTCCTAGCCGCTTGGTCCATCGCCCCATAAACTACGGACAAGTTGATTCCTTCGGACTTCAGTAGCTCGTTTAAAAACTCAACGTGGTGCTTAGTTGAGACGAAGATGATGGTTTGTTGGTCCTGGGGAATCAAGTCTCGGATGAGATAAAGAAGAGCTGCAGGTTTCTCGTCGTTACGAAGTGTGAAGATTGCAAGCTTCAAATCTGGACTGATCTTTGTTTCTGTGTCCAGTCGAACTAAATGGGGATCTCTAAGACCTGCCTTGGCAAAATCGGCGAGCATGCGAGGAAGTGTGGCACTGAACAGAAGAGTTTGGCGGGTCTCGCTCATATGGGTGAGGATCTGACGGAGCTGGTCGGCAAAACCCATTTCAAACAAACGATCTGCCTCGTCAAACACAGCGTACTCTACTGTTCTCAGTGACATTCCCTCAACCTCCGAGAGGTGATGCATGAGACGACCAGGGGTCGCAATTATAATATCTGGATTCTTTGAAAGCTCTTCAAACTGAGCTTCCATGCTGTCTCCTCCCACAAGCACCGTAGCTCTTAAATCTGTCAAGAACGAATCACCACTCCTACCATCAGAACAAGGCTTCGTCTCAGAACGTGATCAATTTAACGACAGAGACGTCTATTAAAACAGAATCTCTCACTAAAACTACACAAACGGTACTTATAATGACGCTGTAATCCCCTTAATTACCCTCAGACTTCCTTGTCCCAATGAAAGAGATTCAAGAGAAGGAAGCAAAATCGAAGCCAAAGCGATGACCCAGCTGCACCATAGTTTCAAGTCTCGTTCGGTCCAATTCAAGCACATATCTCTACTTCTTAGATGGCACATTGAGGTGCGAAAGGGTGCTAACGAACCACAGAGAACTGATTCCACGATCCTGAAAACGACTCCAGGTATTTCAGACTCTGGACCGACACAATTTCCACAATCCAAACTCCACATTCTAGAATGGTTTACCTGTATAACACCCCAGCTCTTTACAAAATTTGAAGGTCTGAAGAGCCAGCTCTCGAGTAGGGGATAAAATTATGGCACGAGCACCAGCCTTCGTAGAGTGGGCCTTCAGCTTCTCCAGCATGGGAACCAAGAATGCGGCGGTTTTCCCTGATCCCGTCCTCGCCATGGCAACCACATCGTGTCCGGCCATCACCAGGGGTAATGTCTTGCGCTGGATAGGAGTCGGAACCTGGTAGCCTTTCTTCTTCACGGCTCTGTACACTGGGAGACTGAGTCCGAGGGACTCAAAACCCCCAGACTTGTTCACCTTCGCCTTCTTCTTTTCCCTCATGATTGCGATGCGCGCTTCTACGGCACGAATTGGCAACTGGCAAGACGTATCACCTCTCCTGGTGTAATGTATAGAGCGGTCCTCCGGCAGCTAAAACCTTTCCGGTCCCGAAAATCCTAATCCCGCAGTTTGAGACCTAAACACTACAGCTCTTCCCGAACGCCAAGCGCCGAAGATAAATTCGTCAAATCGATTATCCAATCCAAATCGCCTCACCTTCCGAGACACTGGAACCTGAGCAAGCAGATTTCATGTACCACACATGAGTCCCACAATACGCCGAGACCACACCACCATCCGACAGATCACTTCCTTCCTAGCTCGTCGCCGAAGCAGTGAGTCGACAGTGACAAAGAGAACGAGGTATAAAATGCGGAAACACCAAGTTCGACATCGATCGATCACAGACTGTTTCAGAGGGTGCACGACTCGGGGAGTTCCTAAACCCCGTGCTAACCCCCGGCCCCTCGTCCCACTTACTTCTCCAGTTCTGGAGATCTGTTCGTTGCCTTTTTCCCATGGTAGCAAGGGAAGGCAACCAACCCTAAAGCCTGAACCGTCCAGTTCAAAGCTCGGTTGCGACTCCAGCTTGCGAACCTGGTGTCCCCACGATGTGAACTCCGCGTCAAACAGTGCCACCGGGGATGTGACCGGTAACCCGCTTGTTAACGCAGATTCCGTCGTTCCACTCGCGTGTGGGCAGGAGAATCTCTTGTATGTTTCGGTGGTTTTGAAATGGGCTTCGTCGTCTCCATAGCGACTGAGAAGTTTTTCCTCAAGCCCGGAGATTCGGAAATATTTTCCTCGCCCTCGTTTCCACTTGCTCAGCCCGCTGACGTTTCCGGTCATGTTCTCGTGCTTACAGGTGATCTACTCGGTTGGCACGGGAAGGAACTGGAAAAACAAAAATGATAGCCGTGATAAGAGTGCAAGGAAGTCCACAGTTGGTGGCATGCCCCCCACCCGAGCTACGGAGTGACGGGCTGCTCAAACTCACGAAAGCAGACCGAAAACGGACAGCGATGGCATTTTCAATCACTATCTTGGATCGCAATCGTGGTCTCCTTCCTTCAACTATACATTCCTGATCACCTGTGAGATCGAGATACTGTAATAACATCTCTGGCAATCTGCGCTATCCTCTAGTATATTTAAGAAGGAAAGCGAGACATAAAGCAATAACCATACCTCAAACAATAACCAATACCATACTTTAACGCATCTCACACCGAAAAATTAGTTATACATAACACACACCAAAGAAGGATGTCTCCTATGTACTCTCGACAACCATGGAATACAGGGGGTGACATTGCAGCTATAAGTAATGTATGAATTATTCGGTTGAGTACGTTCTTCAATAAATTTCAAAAATACTCACATTCATGGATGCGTTGTTCAGTATATTTGAAGAAATACTCACATTCATGCTTTACAGAGTTCACACTGGTTTCAATACACATCACTTTTTACTGTATATTGTATGGGTTCTCTAGTTTAGATTGGACACCCAATCCACATACATGTATTGAATTTGATACTATGTATGAAGCCTTGAAATTTCAACTATCCTTAAAACATCCAAGAAGCAAACTACATTAGATTTTTTCATTTCATACAAAAAAATTACATGTTATCAACCAAAATGCAAAGTGCATTGATAAGAAAAGCTAACATGAGTTGTTAATAGAACATTAATTTTAATGGTTGTTAGGTTCACATACAGTTAGCATCACAACACAAATCATTTTCACCTTAAATATCACAATACACAGATAATCATATAAATATATAAGTAATATATTTTCAAAACGTACACATTTACATTGCGCTCATCGCCATAATATAACAAAACATATTATTGTCAAATCAGTCTCATTTTTTGTTTCAATTATATATGGTATTGCACTAAATAATTTCCATCATAGCTGCAAATTCTAAGTTTCAGTTTCAGAAACTCAACCCTAATGAATTTTAAATCTAAATTATTAAGACGGACAGCGGTATTGATAGATGTTAGGGCTTCCAAACCTAGATTTAGATAAATCTGGGGCTTGGAAGCCCTGATTAAAATTGAGGCTTTGGGTATTTGAGTGTTTGAAATTGAAACTTTGGCTCTGAGATTATAATGAAGAGTATTAAGTAAAGAGATTTTAATTAATTGAAGCATTAAGTGGAAATTGTTTCATTGTAGTTACCTCACTTACACTATAGTGATTAAAAATGTGGTTTTGGGGCTGTTTTGAGAGGATTAAAAAATAACTGTTCCGCACTTGTGTTGGTGTATGAAATCCATGTATTTTGATGTGAGATTATGTAAGTTGTGATATGAAATGTAATTTCACCAACAATCTAAGCAACAAAAAAATCTCAATGACATCTCAAACCTTATTACTATGCTATCAATATACACACATAAACACTAGCAACAAATAATATATACACTAGCTTATCAAAATAAGAAGGTTTGAGATGTCATTGAGATTTTTTTAATTGAGTTTAAATCTTACTGATTAAAACTTATCACTCGTAGCTTTTACAAGCCCTGTAATATCCAAGATAACAGCCAAATTAAAGTTAAAGAATACATGGATTTATACCAAGAAATCTCCCAATCATAAATCCGTTATCAACATTGGCTTTTGAAATAATTTTACTTATGAAAATTATATCGGATTTCTACACATCAGTATATATATTTGATCATTTTGGTAAGTTACTTGTTTTCGAATCAAAAAATTGTAGAAATTTCATTTATGAAAATTTTAGAATATCATGAGAGTCATACTTACACTTCACAGGTGAATCATTCATGAATTGATTATTATTTCATTCTTGATTTAGACTGACAAAATGTTTTACAATAGTTTAAATATGACCATTAATTGCCAATTATCTTTTGCTAATCATGTTACACTCCTTTGGTCTACATTGATTCCATCTTATAGACTATTGACGTATGTTAAATTTCTTGTCCTCCAGAACGTGAATGTTAGATGATATTTAGCATTTGTCACGATTCAACGTGACAGGGTTTCTCTTCTACATGTTATACTTAACAAATTGATTGTGTATGTTTCTCAGTACTGTAAAATTTCCTTTCTAACATGTGGCATGTGTTGATTTGACGTCTTTGGTTAGAAACAAGTGGTCATCTTTCAAACTCTGGTAATTAGTCTCAATTACGTAACCAAGTCGTTGAGCGAATCATGACAAAATATAAATTCCCCTCGATACTTCATAAGGACGTTACTCCCTAACATGGGATAAGTTCTTGCTCCAACCAAGACACACTTGCGCTAAGTTGTGAGAGCCTGTATCCACTCATTCCACTTCACATTCATTAAACTTCGTAGTTTCTTCATTATCCTCGAATGTAAAAGCTCTGCGCAACACATTTATCGAGCAAAGATATTAATTGTGATTGCTTTGGCCTTTCGTGCGATGTTAAGTTTCGTTCCGTGCGAGTCGCAGGATTGGGAATCAGATCCTCTTTGACATAGCTGTAAAACGTTATGCCCGTAATTGTGCACAATTGAGATCTTCAGCGGGAAGGTGTGTAGAGGTCCTTCACTGTCTCTTCTTCTCATACTTTTGTGCCGTGAATAGCACGTCTTCCTGCACATTCGTTGCCAAGTACAAAGAGAAGGGGCCAAACAGATATTGAAAACGATGGAAATAACCATCAAGACGTACATTCCTTCCCAAGTTGCGGTGTACCTTGTGCTATCGTCTGCTATTATACGGAAATGGTCACAACTAAGATTCTCACCTCATGGCAAATGTCCCACCTTCGCAGCGGTCATCTCTGTGAGAGGTCACAGACGATAGAGCGTCCAAGACACTAACAGGAAACTATTCTTCCTTTACTGCGTATCATATCAACGAAGAAAGGTACAGACTTCGCATGTTCGCAGCACGAGGGATGTTTGAGTGAGGAGATGAACTAGAAAAGAAACATTTCAGGTATAGAAGAAGACATTTAGGTGGTGAAGAGTTCATCTTTGTGAAACAAGCTGGGAACGAACAGATAATCTGCTAAGGTTGATGTTGCATCAGCCCTGTCACGAGTATCTTTCCAAACTTCTTCACTTCCATCCACCAACTTCAGAACCAACCTCAAGTTGAATTCCGGGGGTGAGAAACTTATGTGTAATGATGACGAATTCTCACATGTTCTCAGGCATACGATAACTTCATTCAGGATGCAAAGACCAACATGGCTGAACTTAGCTTTTATACACATGAGAAAACTGGTTCTCCACATCGTACTAACTACTTAGTACACCACAATCATACCATGACACCTTTGATATACACATATCATGAGCTTCCTCTGTAATGGTACAAGTTGAAGTTCTACATAATCAGAGAGTTATGTAAAATAATTCTACAATTTTCACCAATTGTCTGGCAACTCCCTATTTATCTTGGGCCTGCGGGAGCGGATTGTGCTCCTGGCCTCGAATATTTCTCCCTCATGGCCTTTGACTGAGCGAGCATCTCATCGTAGTTCTGCAAAAAACAAGCACGTGTTTCAGCTTCACTGTACATACATTTATTTTCTAGAAGAGGTGAAGTTTACTGAATGTCGCAAATATATACGCCTGGAAGTTATCGGCATAATGCCTGATTATCAAGATCGGGACTTAGGTCACTTCTAAATCAAGATGAGCACGATGGGCAATCACCATACGACATGACACTGTCGTATAGAAAACTAGAAAGCTAAACCTTGGGCCAGAAACTTAGATGCTTGCTCCTCCTATGACAGGAACAGAGAGGCATATACTGCGAACTTGCTCGGCTGGTGCAGCAAGCCACCAGCCGAGCAAAATACCTGAAATCAAGTGAAAAAGTATTTTCTAGGACCTTGGATCTAGAAGGTATTTGAGACAATGAGTAACCCTTCCTGACCGACGCTTGAAAACTTAGAACTCGCTTCACCACTTGGAAAACCCACAGAGATGTGAATTTCGTCGAGAACCGTTAACTCTAGTCTTCTCCATAATCCTCCCTGGTCATCCCTCACTTTTACTTCCTCATCCTCTATGATAGCACAACTCACTAGTGAGTTGTCACAGGAGTTTTGATCTTCAAGCTAAGACAAAAACTTGAGAGTACAGTTTGACAAGTATCATACCTTCCTCTCCATCGCGACTCCTCTGCTTTCAATAACCTTATCTGCGAGACCATATTCGATGGCTTCCTGCGCCCTGAAATACTTGGGCCTCTTGATGTCGTTCGCAATTTCCTCACGACTCTTACCGGTTCCCTGTGCCAATAGGTCTACGTAGTAATCTGTATTGGCATCAAGCTCCTTTGCCTGGATACAAAGCGCAATGATTCACGGGAGCTATACTTTAGATCCGCCACACCAGGAAATAAGTAAGAATTGAAAACTGAACACAGGTGTACATAATTTCCCCTCAGAGGGTGACCCATGGCGATATTAACCTTTTCCATTCATTTCTTCAAAACCCTCCTCGACTGACAGTTCAGTATAATACTAACGGGAGACTGTATTGATAAGAGGTTGAGAACGGTGGGGAAGACTACGGCGCTTGAGAGGTATTTACCTTAATCCACATGTCGATAGCTGGACCTTGAGATTGGTTCACCTTCGGTGAGTACAACTTGGCTGCACAGGAAAGACTCACACAATGAGGAAGAAGCATATCAAAGAGCACAAACGCTATGTAAAGCCCGCCCGTTGTAAGGCACGACGTTAACTCCTCATAAATCGGAGAACATAAGAAAAAGCTTTTGAGGGCATTGAAAAGTATGAGAAATCCATTGAGAAAAGTCCACAGGAACAGTAAGGAGAGATACTTACTAACAGAGTTAGGCTGAACGGCACGATACCCCTTCTCACCAATAGACAACAACATTGCTGCTTGTCCAAAAGCTTGTCCACAGTTGACGGTGTACACCTTAGATTTTACATACTGCATGCAACAGAAACGGCACAAAACTCATTTAATCCACTTTAAGATGAAAACATCATTAGGGGGCACGAGGAGGTCTTACTTATCTGCAAGTGATTACGTACAAGTTTAGGACTGTAATTACTTGAACTATTTGAGAATCGATGTCCATCACAATCCTTCCTAGGGAAGCTAATATGGAACTCAAACTATGTTGCGAGGCGGAGACTTGAAGAATCCAGTTAGTTAAAATATCTGACTTACCGCAATTGTATCGGCAATACAATAAGCTTCGGTTTCGAAACCAATACTCTCACGCTTCTCGTTCTGTATCACCATCACACGTAGAAACAGGTGAGCATATCACCTTTGCTGGACAAAATGACGCTCATACCATGCTCCAAAACGATCCCGTAACTTGGAAGAAATGAGGTGCCTCTGGTTTTCTACTTGGAAGATACCTGTGTGCCTGATGAATTAATGTAGAAATAGATAGGCTTTTGAGGATTGTCGTAGTCCAACCACAATAACTCAGCTACTATGAGTTCAGTAACGGCAGGTACAATCTGCAATCAACAAGTACCAATGAGACCCAGAACGCTAGAAATTAAACGCTTGCCATCAAACTACAGCTGACGCACCCACCAACAACCTATAATTTGAGAGGTGAACAATTCAAGAATGGCGATTACTTGACAATGGCGCAGCAAAGAACTACTTCCGAAATTTGATATTTCAACTTTATTCTAGATAAACAAATTGGATTGTCTTGACACCGTTCCTACTAAAATGAAAACATACCGGCATTCCCAAATAGCAGATTCGGGAGTCTAACAAAAGCGAGGGAAGATCTGGTGGAGCAGTTTTAGGCCTTCCGAAACCACCCCCACCACCACCACGGTACATGCTGACGCTCATGCTCAATCGAGATGGTGCGTTATCCAAGTCAGAGATATTCCACATGCCGGTGCCTTCTTTGTAATGTCTAGCAGATGCAATAGTCTCCTGCAGCACAATTCACCTGTCAGAAGCTAGATGACGGATCTTCTAAGAAAGGACGGATCGTAGACAGAAATACCTCAACTTTGGCTTGTATCTACCGTGAACTTTGCTATAGACGATCTGCATCGGCACATAATGATACAAGCAGGTTGAACGAACCATAAGGCAAGTGAATAACATCACATGAGGCTTTCGTGGATGGACAAACCTCAGTAACTTTTTCAGACTGTCTCTTCATGGGACTATCTTCGGTCATGAACATATCCATCTGAGTTGGATTCAGCCCGTAAAGATTGGTCGGAAAATTCTTAAAGTTTTCCATAACTGCAAAATGACGCAATTTGCTCAGGCTCGAACCAGTAACTTTAAGTAATCAATCGAAACAGAGCGAGAAAGTTACGAGGGTTACAAAGCAAGCGCCTGTCTATCACATGATTTTGGAGCAACTTGAACTCCTTATCATAGCTGTTTAAAACTTGCACGCTTCTAGAGCTGGAAAGGGGTGTTTCATTTCCAGCGCGTCAGGACAGTCCTTGTGCGATGAGACACTGTCTGAATTATGCAGGCTCATGATGTTCACGACATCCGGAACTGTAAAGCGGGAACAAATGAGCTAGTACCCACGAAAACAATTTCCATTATTCATGGGAGAATTGAAGTAACAGCTCTAAACACCAACCATATTTGTCACAATTCTAGAGAGGAGCGATGAAACAGAGCAATTTTCGCCGTTTGAACGTAATTTGACTGGAAAAGAGAATATCAGAGGACACACTGCATCAAGCAGATTCTTTCAGGGTCTTCTCAGGCGGGACGACGGGAAATACAAAATTCAGAAGTCCACTACAAAGCACCTATCCGGACTAAGTACATGAAAAATAAAAATAAAACTCTCGCCTCTATCTACTCCAAACAGCTACCACCCCATAAACAGGAGTGTTAACAGCAGTTATCCAGAAGTGAGATGCGGATTGCAGAAAGCTCACAATCAGTAAACCATTCAAAGAAACGAGGACTCGCAAAGCAAATTCAGAACGGACCTCCTTCCTTCAAATTCTGCTCCCGAAACTGCTTTGGGATCCGGTCGAGAGATGCTCGCACACCAAGCGCTTTCTGCACGCCATTAGTACTCCGTCCAGAGGACCCCGCCACAGCGGCGACCCGCTTCTCTCCACAAACCGAAGCTCCAATGAACCCTAAGCGACTACCCTCTCCGGCAACAAAACCACTTCTAAATCCCTGCTTCCTCCCGAATCCCTGCGCTCCAGCATCCAATCCTGTCACCGCTGGACTACCTAGCGCCAGCGCCATCTCGACGGCCCTCCTATTCAACTCCTCGAGCTCCTCCGCGCGTCCGACAACCCAATTTCAAGAGCGCCTTAGAGCACCAATGCCCGAATCGAGTCCTCACTGCCCTCGTCTGCGAGCTTGCGTCCGTCCGTCGTCGCACTTCAGAATGCTGCGCTGCGCTCTCGTGGGCGTCTATGGCGCTGCCGACGACGGTGTCGGGGATAACGCTAAAGCTTTATCTCTGTGCTCCGTATTCGGACTCGACGTTAGCGTGCGTGTCCTGCTTTCGCCTCGGCCTCGGCTACTCGCTCTCCGCTCCTCCTCTCCCTTCCACTCCTCTCGCCATGATCTTTTGCAATTGTGCAACTCACTCTTTCTTCTTCCAAATCGCCGCGCCTAAACTAAATCATTCTCACTTGTCGCTTGTGCCTTGATCCCTAATTTCGTGGTTCACATCACGCCCGTGCCGAGGAATAAATCAATCTCTCTCTGTCTCTCTCTCTCTCCAGTCTTCCTCAACAGATTCACTATCGTGGATACTGATATTATGTGATGGTTTACGAGTGACATCCTATAAAATGTTCCTTTAACCTTTAGATTTCCGCCATGGTCTAAAATTTGAAGAAAAGTTGAGTTTCCAGGAAATCCTATATCAATCATCGATCAACCAACGAATAAATTTATGCAAAAATTATCATGATAAGTAGAGTTTCGTATGTAATGTGGGGGATTGGTCTAAGTTAAAACAGTGTAAAATGATTATGAACTTACTCTGGTTTGTTCATCATCGTCATAGTCCGTTGGTTCTTGGACTAATTGTAATCTCGTATCCGTCGCTAAGTTTAGAGATACTTTAGGCTCAGTACCAATCTTGAAAATATTGTGTTGGTGTAATTCTCCTACACATGGCTTAAAGTTATTTCTGAGAAAAACCTGGTGTGATAGATCATGCCGACGGTAGGTTTCCATGCAGAGTAGAAATTTCAAAGTTTACATGCTTAGGCGTGATCAATCATGCATATGTGGATCACACCATACATTTTCTCACATCAAATATCATCAGAATAATTTTTTCCAAGCTTACACAATTATAATCGGCTTATAACCATGAAAACAGGATTTATTATCGTATTTTCAATTCACTTTTAACTTTTGAAACCTCAAAGTATCAATGTTATATTTCGCATGAAAAACAAACCTCATTCGAACACTAGCCATAATATTTCTAACGTTGTTGTTTGCCTACAAAGCATATGTATCGTGAATAACTTCAATTGCGGTATGGGATTAATTTTATCATCTGCTCATGTAAATAAGTGTAAGACTTCGATTTAATTTAAGTATGCGATAGATAGACTAATTTCTTGCTATTTATCAATTAATTTAAATAGCGTGAAAATAATGCTAAAGATGCTTGTTAGCAAAAATCAAAATTGGCCGAACATGGTAGCTTGATATCTTGATACTCCAATACACATTCTAGATGTTTCATTTACAATTTCTATGCATTTATCTACATAGGTCTTTACCATTACAAAATAAAGAGTTCATGCCAATTCAATTGACATATCATTTATTACTACATGAGACCTCATAAAAAGAAACAAAATTATATTTATAGAGCTGTTTTGTATATTGCTTTGACCATGTCAGCCTCTATATTCCATTTCTGGGCACAAACACACAAAGCCTCTAACGTGAAATGAAATCATAGCTAGAATTAAAAAAAACAGTAATAAGGCATTAAATTCTGCTATGCATAGTCTCCCACACGCACACCACAATTCCGCACTCCACATAAGGAAATTCTTACTGTCAAAATACAGAGTGCTAATATATTAAAATGAGATTATATATTCGGTACCATACATTCATAATCTTCCAATTTATTGGAGATTATAAATATGAAATAGTTCACTCAAAACCCTACAAAAATTAATGCATTGATTTCCATGTACACATTTTATTAAGATTTCCTTTAGACATTATAGGAACCTACTTAAAATAAAATGAAATAACCAAGTATACTCACTCTCAACGTATATATCGTGTCACCAATGTGTGAGTATCAAAGTTTTATGTAAAAGCATAAAGGAAAAACCTCGAAACCTAATCTTGCTCTAACCAAGATCACTCTTTTGTTAATAGAAACACATATCATATAGATGTCTTCCACCAAAAACAGGCCCATCTCTCCCTTCACTGCCATTATCAAGGGCGGCGAAGATTGGTTGCATTTGAAAATTGGCCAGGTTCATAGTTTTGTTTCTTGTATGATGTAGTGTTCCTCTCGACGATCACTGCTTTCAACATGTCAACTTACAATTTATACTAGAGTCAGGACCGTGCCGCAAAGGGAGATCGTATCATATGACCATAATGCGATTAAGTCAAAAGTGGTTAATTCCAGGCTAGTCTTGTAGAAGATGTTCCAGCCAGAACTTAGATTGAAGTACCCGGCTGAGACTGACGTCGATCGGGATAGATAATAAATCTTTTGAATTGTTCAATGTGAGAAGCAACACTATTGTTGAGATCGGATTAGGAACTTGTTCTGTCACTTAAAAGTACACCTCTGCAGAATTTTCTTCAAACGGATGTAGTTGAAGGTTCAGGAGAGAGTAAAATATGGCAAGGTTTGCAACCATCATCTTTACAAACAGATCGGTAAGCTTTCTGCTCTATTGAAAAGGTATGTGTTATCTCGTGCAATGTCATAACATAAGATCATCGTGCTTACATCACATTAAATGGTGTACACAGGACATGTCACACACTGACAAGCTCGAAGGGAGTATACAAATAAAAATATCATCGACAGACGAACCAACAACCAGTCATGGAGTGAAGAACAGACGAGAAAGGAAGAAAAATATGAGAACATTCAGAACTGCAGGATGCTAACACTCAAGAATATATTAGCCGAAGTCCTCTTCTCCAATGAAATCCATGAAGGTCACCTTCGTTCCGCACAGTTAGTGTGCTTACTAGATGCCACCTCAGGCGTTAATTTCTGTGGGTTATACACAAATCACTTTTCTCAGAAGTTTTCAACATAACATTAACCAGGAGATGGTCAAGACTATAACACAGTGACCAGTTACTCGACTTCAAAATCTTTTTCTTCTGGACGTTCAGTCGGGTATGATGACTAACCAGGTGAAAAGAATGAAATGTGGCACTATGTTTAAACATGTCGCTCTGCTGCTTTTTATAAATTTTATTTGAAGGCTTCCATCTCATGTTTAAAGCTTCACTACCTGCTTTTTGATGGACCACCTAATCACCTTCGAGAGAGGAGCTCTTGGACAAAACTTTCAAATGATTCTCACTAACATGCAAGTAAGGGCTGTATAGGGATTGCCTCTCTCTTTCTTCAGAGCCTCCCAATCAAGTATGGCCCAAAGGGGCACAACCATGCCACTGCAAAAAATGAACACTAAGGGCTCATGCTTACAGGCTCTGGAGGAGCCATTGGATTTCGCTTGATAACATACTCAATGAAGAACACAGCCATAGGCACGGCCACTATGAGACCCCAAACGCCCAGTGCATGCTCCGCAAAGACCAAGACGGCAAGAGCCATGAGAGGATGAAGTTTCAAATGAGCTGCACCATCACGTAACAAGGTGTCAGCTCACTGAAATTTAAAAGTGAGCAAACAACCAACTTGACAAAACGAATTCTAAAAAATTCATTACTTTGTTGCGTTGATTCCTGAAGTGCAATCGGCAAGATAACAATTGTACACTACAAGATATCGTCGGTCAAGAAACAGAGTCACCAGCAGGTCAATTGTTAAAGTCGAACCTGAATAAATAGCTGGGTTCAGAATATAGGCTTCCACCGCATGTACAAGAATCACCATCAGCACAACCAAGCCAAGTTGCCATATTCCAGATCTGCAGGCAACGATGTAAATATAATACCATTGTCAATATAAAATCAGATTTTAACAGATCTGCAGATCTGATAAGATAAGATAGTCAGAATGAGCTGCTTGGGGAAGTAGGGGAGGTATGAATTGATGCTGGACCACCAAGGCAGATAATTTACTCAATTACCACGTGGTTGTCAACTGGATAATATTAGACAGCCGAAATAAGAAGGGAAAGTCTTGAATCATAACCTAACATCTTCTCTCTCTACACACTTCCGTGAAGACAACATGCCACATAGTCCAGGTCTCCGCAACCACGAAAGCGGTTAGCATCCAATGGGTGTAACGAAACTAATCAGATCTTCGTGTGAAGCTCCATCCCGAACTCACAACTCACACGCTTATAGAAAGACCTAGAGAAACCGGAAAGATCATGAATCTACATTCGTGTGGACAAATCATATATTATATTCAGATATCTAAACCGTCAAAGGCAGAAGCTATGAACGCATTCGAGAAGCAAATGAACGCAAGCAACAATATGAGACTTACTCTGTGAATGCCACGACGCCGATGGGAACGGTAGATATAATCACTCCCGCAACAGGCACGAAAGAGCATAAGAAGACGAAGAAGGACAATAAGCCTACTCCCGATACTCTCAAGACAAGTAGCCCCAAGCTTGTCAAGGCTGTATTCACAACGGCTATGGCACTTTGGGCTTGCAGTGCCTTCCCAAATATTCGACCGAATGTAGCTATCTGTGCGACGACATGTTTGTTCATATTAGCCCTTCCTACTTGAACACCAAACTATGGTCATCATTGGCAGATTGTGATAGGTTAAACTCGCATGTAGCGATAAAACATAAACTGAAACCCTCTTCCATATGAGAATTTGTTGACACCGAAGTTCTAGCATTATCCAATACCATTATCCATTCGGAAGGTGGTAAAAGAAATTAACCATGATTGAACCATTACACGAGCTACGATCATCAGAAGAAGATACTTGCATTGAATTTATTCGTGCTACTACACACTCACCACCGGTGCAGTTTCCTGGTAAACAATGGAGAGTCGTGATTCCTTCAGTGATTGAACGCCTCTTCGGATGGCTGGCATGTCCCAGACAAGCATGAAGGAAAAGATCAAACTCACCAAACTCTGTACATGAAATTCATACAAAGTGTCAGAATAGTAAGATTTATCGATGATCGAGCTTAGATTTGTGGCATAGAAACACCCATGTTAGTACAGACATCATAGTATACAGAATTCTTCATCGAAAAGTAACTAAAGCTTGCAAGGCTGAGCTCTCCAAAGAGAGTCATACGTTCTACCGGGCCGCTCTATACTGTTAGTTACTTCGACCCGTATATTTCTTACCTTATTAAGATAATATTTTCACCTGTCGAATTAGTCAACCATCTTTTAGATGATTTCCATCCAAAAACTTGAAAAAGTTTTGATATTCAAATCAACTTAAAGCGCAATCAACAAATTTGAGGAATGCCTCCATAAACTCAGCATTATCATCCAGCCCTTTCCGGTCTTCATCTGAGACAAGCAGCCTTAACATGTGTAAATGAACAAGATGAATAATACCTGTAAGGCAAATCGACTTGTCGCAGATATCAGAGTTGCCAACCAAACAACCACAGCTCCTGAGTAATCTTTAATTAGTTGTTGTAAAACCGTCGACCTCTGAGCTCTACTGCCTGCCACAGATTCCTGCTAGCAGTGTAGACAAATATGTTAGTGTCTCGGAAGTTTCACTCTGGCAATGTTAAGAAAACTTTTACTGCTACTTTTATCACATGATTCAAAAATTGCTGTAGAACAGTCTCCATGGAATATCGTCATTGTGGGAACCGAGAGCCTTTAGGTATAAACAATCATATCTACGACAGAAAGGTAAGTATGAAAACACTCACCAGAACAACTGTGTCTGGCTTGGTAAGCACAAGCAGAAACCGCTCCAACTGTCAGAAAACCAACTTGTCCCATCAATACAGGTGTGAACTCCATACCATAGATGCCAGCTGAACAATCTACAACAACCAAGTGACTTATAATTATAGATTGCTGGAAGAAAAAGATCTAGAAAATATTTAAGGCTGAGAGTCGCCATTAAGCAGCATGACAAACTGCTTCAAACCCCCTCTGAACTTCCCAGGAGAACTTACAGTGTGTTCTATTACTAAAGGACACATGTCCACTGTTTTATATTCTCATCAACCGCTTTAATTTTACAGAGTCTGCACTGACCAGATCTAGTCCACCATATGACGAGATTATCACCTTCCTGAGAGTTTTTTAACTTCCCATATACTAGAGAACTGATACGTGTAAATGACATACAAATTATTTAAAACCAACTCGGGTTACTAGTGGCACGTTGAGGTCCCGATATTATAAACTCTTTTTACTCATTATTCATATAAAGTATGAACATCTAGAGAAATAGTTCGTCAGAGTATACCGCAGAACAAGTTTTCCCACTACAATCGTCTCTTGGTTCACAATCTATCATCAAAAAATCCATTCGAGCAAGATCATAAGTACTAGTGGCCGTTCTCACGCTAAGTCATTATATCCAACTGTTATTGTGGAGCCTCACATTGAATCTCATGCAGACAGCTCACTGACATGTCGGTGGTTTGAAGTGCTTGTTAACCTATGCGATCAAGAGCGAGCCCAATAGAGAATAAATCAATCCTAGACGTTGAAGTTCTTTCGTTCAGTCTTAACCGAAGAAGAAGGCCCAAATCTCCTCCCTTCTTTGACCCGTTGGCTTGGCAAAAGATGTAGAGATTTGTCTTGGATACTCCTTAGCACTGATCTAAACTGCTCAATCTCGGTACATCCTTATACGGTACATAATGGTGCATGACCCGTATGAATGTGATTCTCTGGCGATACTACCTCAAGTACAAGTAATGTAGACTGTAGAATATGGTTGTAAGGCTAGACTAAAATATATGGGAGGCAAGACTCAGGGTACTGCCAAATTCTAAATGCGGATCAAGACATTGGACCAGCCATTTTTATTTCTTCCTCCAAACTGCTAAATGTTCAACGTTCAATTTTGTAACGGATTTGGAACAGTGTGTTACCTGATCCGTGACAGGCTCTCCTAGCGTATGTCTTAGCTTCTCTGAAATGAGGGTATAAGGATCTTCGTTTGCCTGATAGAACATGAACATTTTGTCAAATACATGTTTCCTATGTTCCTGCGTGTGAAATGGCAATAATGGTGCAGGTTACAAAGCACAAGCTGGAAAATATGGGTAAAGTTTTTATTCCGTATGAAAACCTGAACTAAAATCTTTGGGAGAAAGGAAAGACAAAAAAGAAACACAATCGACAATGCCAGCTTTTTCGAAATCATGCATTTACAGAGCTCTCTTGTTACCTCTAACTTTATCTTAGTCATTAGAAGGCAACCTGCTAAGAAGACCATCCAAAGAGAATAAAAGCATGTACTCATGTCAATAGACCAAGTTGTTGCATAGGATGCACTTACCTGTATCCGCGCTATCACCCTGGCTCCTTCTTGAGTAAGTCGAGGAATGTAGATAATACCAATGCCTACAAGAGCTGCAATAATTACCGCATACATTGTTGCCACCAATATACGTCTCCTTCCTGGTAAATATCCTTCAGCCGAAGCTACTAACGAGTTCCCCACTACTGACAGCACAATAGTTCCCATTATAATCTGCAATCCATGTCATTTTGTACTTTAGAATATATCAGCAGAATCTTACTTTTAAATACTATGATGAATGTCTTGTCATCGTACAGACCCCAACCATGAAACACTTTCGCCAGAGGCTTAGATGTTATACATTCTGCGAGGATGTAAAAATGTGGGATGGGATATCTATCAATGACGTATGCATCTGCAGCCATGCACTATTTCAACTTAATATGAATATTATTGCGGCTTGAGAACAATCATCTGCATCTTTTCGTGGAGTCAAAATAGGGTCAAAAACTTACCATAAGAAAGATGGCAACAAAGAAGGTTTGTAGATTAAGATGCAAATCTGAGCCGAAAACATAGTGTGCTAAGCAGAAAAATGGATCGTATGGACACCCATGATAGTCATCAATAGCGAGGATTGTATACTAATCGTATTACAGTTCATAGCATAAGCAAAATCAAATGACCTTCTGCTAAACACTAGAAAGAGGTGCATGTGACCAAATCGACATGAAACTGTGCGGTGCAAGTAACTAACATCATCGAATCAAAGAGAATGATATGAGGATTTGGAATGTAGCTCACTCCCAGAAATACATACCCCAACAAAATCTCGTAACTGAAACATGACGAGTGCCACTGATGCCCATACTGCCAACCGCTGAAACGGGACTCTTCTCACAAAGGATCCCAGATTTAGAATCACATAAGGATCGGGCCTAGACCCGTTCATTTTATTATTGATATCTCCAACATCACCTCCGGCGAGGGGTGCAGCTGACGCTGATGACGGAGAAGCAGCAGCTTTCATGGCCATATCGTACGCCATGACCCGTCGAGAGGCTGACTGACTCTGTTTCCTGGCTGTTGAGTCGGGTGTTTGATCCTCTCCTCCCAGTCCTCCAGCTCCACTAAAGTCATCTGAACTTGGCCACCTAGCCCCTGAATCATTCTGTTTTGAATTGAACAATTGTGAGGATCCTGAAATTTGTCTTGAACATACACAGCAAATGGTCACAACACTTTCTATCTCCTTAGACGGCAGAAAGAATTGAAGACGTTGATCTTCTTCATACACATCCCTATAGTCTCAAACTAGTACTAGAAACCAAAAAATGAAGCTTCACATCTTTGCGGTACGGTGTATGATAGGATCAGCTACCTTCCCTACTGATACATATATCTTACGCATTGAAGGATGGTTGCGCCTACTGGTCTCAGCTGGACTAATCTATTCAATCGACTACCTAACTTCGCAGTTTCAGATTTTTTTTTTACTGATTTTCTCATATATGATTATGCTGTGAAAAGTTACAACAGGAATCACCTAAAGGATGCAGGGAACTGGCCTGGGGAAATTTCAGGCTTCAGGCCATGATAAAAATTGATATGGATTCAAGAAACAAAATCATGGAAACCATATTCGCGTAAAAGATTACTGACAGAAAAGCCATGACAGGAAGCCTTCGAAAATTATACAGATTTGTTGCTGCTACATAGAATACACCCCTCAATTGCAGAAGAATGTGGACGACGATAAAGAAAAGTCGACGAAGTAAAATGTCTAAAATTCGAAAGAGGGCAGGTCGATTTCTGCAATCATTCGTGCATACTGAGAAAAATGACGACCTAGAACAAAGTGATCTCGAAAACCAGGGCAGAGAAACTCGAGAGACATATTGAAGAGTGAAAAATTGAAATTACCTGATTGTAGCAGGACCCACACGTGGCGAAACGCGAACTAAGCTTGTGCTGTCCAAATCTATGATAACGAGAAAATCGAACAGAAGACTGCGAGGCTAATCTCCGTCCGGGCTTTCTAGGTGAGCTCCAAAGATGCAGAAAAGCAGCAGAGGTGGCAGGTGGGCACACGGAGGCATACGCCATCATGGCCCCCTACTTCTCCAATTTACTCGACTTCTTCTTGTTTCAGTCAATCACCTCCCGTTTCCTGTTACTCTCCGTCCTCAGGTGATCTTTCTTCATACCCCCTACAGCTCTCTACCTCCACCTGTTTGCTCACCCCTCCTGCACACATCTGTTCCTCCAAACTCCTAGTCACATCATCGCAGAAATATATTTTTCAAAAATCCACGCTGCCGCCTCCTTGCTCCTGCCCTCGCCTGCGGCCTCTTCGTCCACCCGCCTAATGTCCCGCCACGCACGGAGCAGAACACTGATCACCCCTCACCCATCGCGGCAGAAGCTCCCCTCGTCTCCACCCTCCTTGCGGATGCGGTGCTACGGCCAAATCGCCCTCCTGCTGCCAAAATTACTTGGATCCCACCGTCCAAACGTCAATTCAAGCCTGAAATGCCCCGGCTTTCTTTCTAACCCCGTGCCTCCCCTGCCCGCCCCTGCCCCCGCACCACTCCCCAGAAGTAGCAGCAGGTGTGGAATGAGACGCAGCTCTCGCAGGATGAGTGCAATGGACGAGATTCCAGGAGAGCCCCAAAGAAGCAGACCAGAGAAGCTGCAGCTGTTGTACTTTTGATGGCGTGGCCTCGAGACGACGAAAGACAGAAAGCAGAAGGCGAGGATTGACTCGACCAACTCTTTCGCTCACTCTTTCACATGAATGCTTTTCCGCGACAGACAGATGCCCCGAAAGCGAGACCGGACGAGAGCAGAGCAGGCCAGCAGACCAAACGAGCCCGGAAGCAGGAGAGAAGCGGAAGCAGAAGCGCAAACAGGCGCACAGACCCACCGGCCCGAATATTCCTTTCTTCTCAGAAAGCAGTGGAGTATGTATTCCCCCAAATGCGTATTTTCGGCCCCGTCGTCCTCTTAACCCCTGCTCTTAACCTCACCCCATCCCACCGCACCTGACCCTCCCTCCCTCCATCCCTCCCTCCCCGCAATAGCGTTTTCTCACCCATCTACTACACACACAGAGTTCACCCCCATCTGCAGAGTCCTGCTTTCCGTCTATGGGTCTTGAAAGTGCACGTGTCCGTCTTCGATCTAGATATTTTCTGGCTGGCTGAATTGAACGGGGTTTGCAGCCTGGTGGATGTTGATCTACTGCAGTGGGTTCGATGACCAACGTGTTGTTTGTCACTGCCCTGTGGCTAGCTATGGTTCGCTCCACCCCTCGTAACGGCCACTGCGGTTAGTCGTACGCAGAATGAGAAGAAGAAGGAGTAGGGGGAGTTTTATTCACGCTGGTCGAAAGCAAAGAGCGTCTTCACGGAGAACGGCTGCGTAAATTGCCGCCCTGTGACATGATCCTTATCTCGGTCCAGCGTCACGGGACGTAAAGAGTTGTGGTTTATGAATACCACCGACGGACCACATAACGGCATAAACTGTACTGTCTTTCCACTTTGAGGCTCGAGTGCGATCACTGAAAGGCACTGATATTGGGAATGGAGAGCCGGGTAGACAGAGCTGAGTGTCATAGGATCCGGAGGATTCACTTCTTGGCACAGATTTGATTGGTCTTCTCCAATGGGGCGCAAAATCGAAAGCCGGACAGTGATGGGATGAATATTGTTTTTGACGGCGGTTGGGACATAAGTTGGTCCCAACCGCCGTCAAATACAATTTTCATCACATCACTGACCTTACGTCAGTATGAGCAAAGCACTCGGCAAAATGCTAACGAGAGAAACTTGGACATTTAATGAAGAATGTTCATTCTAGCGAGGCATTTCGAGCAGGATGAATTTGATCAATAATTAGATCTAGAAGGAAAAGGTCTAACCAACATACCGATAAAATGACATGAATTCTTAAATAAATGGAACGTTTCTTTTCAGATCCAACCATTCTTCCGGTCATTTTTGTAACCTTATTTAGTTATCGTGAATAGGAGCGAGAGGCTTGTGATTATTTCACGTGTTGATCATACGTCGACGAACAGACGAATATAAAGTAAAGACTATACTGTTCATCACTCTAAAATTCTTGCCTCTTGTTTTCATATGTGTAAACGTATGAAAACAAACGAAGTGTCACCGAAATTTGAAACTTTCATCCAAGGTAAAAATAAAGGAAGAATGAACTTGGCCTTGTGAGCTTTCAACCTCTCAATGTGAGCATTACACGATATAGATTTGATTTCATCTTTTTCCGCTCTTTTATAACTCTGAACTACATTGCTGTAAGATACTCATGACGAATTTCACCTTTGTGACATCAGAAATTGATCTCGTATTAGAGAAAATGCTTCAAATACATCAATATTTTAGAACTTTTACAAGGTTCGTAATAAGTCAAATTTTCACGAGGAGATCAATGCATGTTAAACCCTATCTGGTTTTGAAAAAATTTGCCACATAGACTATCATACATCTCCTATCATGCAAGAAGCCATCAAGGATTCCCCACCACCTCTCCGACCTGTTCACACATGATCTCAAGACGATCCAACTTTCCTCGCATCCCAACTATAATATACTCTTCCGCATTTGGTTGGTGGTAGGTTTCGTGGATAATGTTATGGAGGTTATGCAGTTACATGTGATGCCTATGCATATTCCCCTCAGATTTCATGTTCGAATCTCTTAATCGGTATGATTTTTTCAACCCAGTACTTTCTAGGTGCATGATTTACGGACACGGTGGATCTAATGCAGTGTCTGGACTTGTACGCACGTATGAACAAGTTTAAAAGAAACCAACAGAAAACACACACAAAAATGCAAACAGAAAGTGCCAAAAAGCCAAACAACTTGCATATAGAAAGACAAAGCTGCCGACAAGGCAAGAGAAATCTCACTGAAGGACAAAGAGGTAAACTTCTAAGATATAAGTGGCTCATATGAGAATACTCTGAGATGATGAATTTGTATTGGAGTGGATATATTGCAATCAAAGACATGCTACTTTCTGATTTGAAAGTTGATCACCGTTGATGTTTCCTTATTGTATCATTCTTGACAACTTACTCAAAAGACTCTAATATTGTATGAGAAAATGAAAAGCTCGAAAATGAGTTTTTGGCTTAACAACAAATAACACTGTCACGAGTTACATGTTAATCCTAGACCGAGATTCTTGCTCGCTCCTGTGTTTAGTCATGCTCAAGACATTAAAGTGGAGATCTAATCTGCAGAACGACAAGTTATATATAATATCAAATTAATGATTAAAATAAAACTAGGCCGACAAATCCAGTTATGTAACGGAGGATCCTAGAGATCTGCTACTACCCTTGGATAAAGAAGGACAAATATTTTGGAATGGGAGGACATTGCGCTGGTAAAGGACGTTTTTCAAAAATTATCAATTTGAAATGTTGACTTTGGACTTTTAAAAGGTGTTTGAATCATGAGACGACATCTTATTCATCATTCCGCACCTAGAAGGTTTATTTCAGCAGTTGATGATGTTCTGGAACTTTGCACCTTTGATTACCTCTGATCAAAACAATGGTATGAAACTAGGTGGGACTATCATAATACCTTACCTCGAAGATACTAAACAAATCTACTGCATTGCAACCCGTGGCAATGGTGGCGAGCTAAATCCACTTTTCAGGAGATCACATAGATGATTATGTCATTTGTAGACTGTAATGTATTCCTTGTTGAGATATTTTTTAAGTGCTGTATTTCTCATTACATTATAGGGGCCTAGTCCCTAGTTTCCGTTCCGTTACATTCTCGTAACGCTTGATAAGATCTTCCATATTCGTCTATCCCTTTGGCCCTCCCTCGATTCTTAAGTTTGAGATGTATTTTTTTTCTCGAGTAGAGGCTGTTAAAACACTATCCAAAAACGAAATTTGTGTAGAGACCTGGGCATGCCTTTTTTAATCTCCTGTATTTATTCTGCGGTTCCATTAGTTCTCAATCTCCTTGTCCGGTCGCATGCTCTCAGCTTCAAATAATGACAAGTTCTAACAATTGAACCGTAAGAAAAGTTGGAAGGCTAAGTTTCTGATTTCAAAACGACCTTTTTCACGTGATAGACGTACATATACCCTGAATCTCAAGACGAGTCGTACATCAGAATTTTCCGGACAGATGAGGGTTGGATATCATATGTGCAGGACTGCAATAACTTCTGAGTTTCATCAATGCTAGTATGGTACAAGTACTTACTAATGATGCAGATCATTCATTGGATGCTCTTTACTATCTTAGAGACACAGTAATGTAGATTTTGAATGCTGGATGCGATGGAGAATTGTACAAACCACCTCATCCCCTGCTTCAAGATATTCAAGATCCGAAGTCTGTCAAGGCGTCACGTGTGAATACAACTGACAATTCATTCTCTGTGCGGAAGAAGGTGCCAAGGAAGTAGTCTCGTGAATCTAACTTTGCGAGCTATAGAACGAGCAATCTCATTTCCCGAATGCATGAGAAGAGAAATCTCTGGATGAACCCAACGACAGTTATAGAATGACACAGTCTAGTATCGTACAAATATTAAAGTTGAACTCTTCTGTCAAGTATGCCAGTGGCTACATTTGCAAGCTCAAAAAATGTCGAAATATAATCTCCATATCAAAACTGCCGACCGGGATAATCAGAATGCAAGACGCTCCATATCTACGTTCTCAGTTGTCACTTGAGCGGTGACAAGTGAGAACTGAGAACAATCAATTGAAATCACAGAATCTAGTCTGGGAGTGTCGCAGGACGATTACAAGAGTGGCGTTCCAGTTCCTGATTTTCTGGTTTTGTTCCACAGGTCCAAACATGTATCTCTTTCTTCTTCGAGTCGTGGGGGGCAAAAGGAGAGGACAGAAGTTGCCTCTTTGGCAAAGTGAGTGAGTTCTAGATCGCACACCCTTGCATGGTCATGGCCGAGCAATTTAATGTGGTAGAGATGCATCTGTTTGGTTGACACTACTAGCACCCTAAGACTAGATGCCATGAAAATATCCGAGAGGCCAATCTGATTGCGGAAAAATTGTCACTCCTAGGGACGAGAAGGTAGCGCTTTCTCCAGGGAGATGCCAAAAGGTTCACAAGTGCCATAAAGCAGGCTGCTTTGGCGAGGCGGAGGCGGAGGCTGGGAAGAGTACAAAGGTCCTTTAGATCCCCTTCTTTTCTTCTTCAAAAGTCCTCTCAGGTCCTCATAATGGCTTTGTGCTCCTTTGGACGAAACCGTTCGATAAAGAGTGCTTGAGCTTGAGTCGGTTGGATTGGCCTGCCCTCACTGCAATGCTCGGAGCTTAAAACGCAGTTGCAAGTACAACCCAAAGAAGAGTGCAGGATGTTTAAAGGTCGGTGCAAAATCTTGTGGGATCGATCACTGTGATGTCACCTTGTGGATCTCGTACTCTTCGGTATGCTGACGAAGTTACTACAGACGTTATTGCTTGAGCAATTAGTCTCCGATACTCGTACAGTTGCAGCCTTGCTATGACGAGAAAACGTGATGTAAGACAATAGAATTATATACGCCAATCTCATGTGTCAAACGCGGGGAAGCTGCGAAGAAAGTCCAGAAGACAAAAGAACGAGCTAGCGTTTGAGGGCAGATTCATTCACCTGCAGTCCTACTGTAGAAGATGGAAGGGCGACAAAAGCTACGAAATCATTCGGGAGCCACGGGAAAAACGTGAGGAATTGTGCGATGTTTCTTACTGGACGGTCCCTCGGTCGACACAGTGTGCACCTACCTCGGTCATGTTTATAATATCTCCAATGCTCGAGATCCGTTCTTTCAAACATCTCCGATCTGGATATACCTGATTCCTCGTGCTGACATGTCCCTCACATTCAATCCAGCAGGTCATGCAAGACCATTTGGTCTTTCTCACCAAATACTCATCTTGGATCGAGCTAGTTACTGTCATTTATTTTGTCTTTCTCTACCATGAATGCTTCTCCCGTCCCGTGAGGACATATTCCAGGAATTTCATATTCAGTGACCTCGTGTGCAGTCTGCGGAGGCCATACATGGCATTCAGCTGTCTGAAGAGGCACCAGATATCTCTCAGCGTAATGACTGAAAGGGAAATCCTCCATGTGAGTTTATCTGGATTTCTGCACCTGCAAAGTGAGACCATCATAAATAAGGTTCGTTGGGAGTACTTATTCCTGTCCATGGTTGCTTCTATCTTCCAGGTCTAATTCCTTTGGAGGAACGTGGACTTTAGAGAAACTTTGTTTGGCATGAGAAACTTTCTCGGCATGGGCAGTTTGGTAGTGGCAGCCGCTTCTTCAGTCATCCAAGCTGCGTGTAGAAGCAATCATCCAGATATTTCCTCTTTTAGCGTGTTCTTCTCGAGTAAAGAGGTGGATTCCGATATATCTTGGCGTTCTGAAACCTCCCGTGGACATGAACATGTGAAGTGCAATGGGCAGCATAATTTAAAAAGCTGGAGCTGGGTTCACCCTAACTTTTCAGATGACGCTTCCCAATCCAAATGATTCACCCACCTCAAAGTGTATCATTCACTTCTAAGAATGAAATTTCTTGTTGAGGTAATTTTTCCACTTACTCCACCTAAACGAAGTCTGCAATCTTCGCAGCTATCGCATTTGCTGGGATAAATATACAGTACGAGACTTTTCACTCTCTTGTGCAGAATATACGGTTAGAATGCAGATGATGTTGGCTGCTTTAGTACTCATAGAGACTTTGACGGCTCCCACTACTGATCAGGATTTTGCATCACAAACGTTCCTGGAAAATACCTTGCCCAGGCTTGCTATGGGAACAACGATAAAAGCCCATGCTTCTTGAAATTGTACGTCTTTCTTAGTACTTGTGATACGAGTTGAGGTAGACCTCCGAAGATCAAGAATTCTACTTGTTTGTTGGAGGGCGGAGAACTTAGTTATGTCGGACACCACAAAACCAAAATACTGTCCGACAAAACCAAAGCCACTTATGACCTCTACAGCCTTGGCATGCCTTCCACGGGCATTTGCTGTCCAAATTTACACTTGCAAAAAAATTGAACTTGCACACATTCGCAAAAACCCGGCCTCACGTTCTACTCGAATGAACAGCATGGCTTGTTACTTGAGTCATCTATACACATCGATCCCATTGTGTTCATGTCCACAGCTCACGGGAGGTGCAACGGCCTCCGACTCAAACCTTCTCATCTTAAGCGCTTGGTCAAGATATCTGACTTACACTGGTCGATCTCCACTTCCCAAGGCACGGATCTATCAAGACATGGTATTCAACATCTCCAGCCTGGCCTCAGTCCACGTGAAACTGCTCAGAGTTCAGGGTGCAGAAACCATCGGAGATCCAGCACTATCGTAGATATCGTAGTCGTAGTACAATCAGAGATCGCAGAGACAAACTTTTCACAATATCGTCTGGACCGTGAGGTTCGAGGCCTAGCATCCGAGTATATCTTCTAGGAAGGAGGAATGAAGATGTCGAAGAAGCGCAGCAAATGCGAGGATGAATACAACCGGTTGTAGGGGCCGGAACCAGCAGGGATTGGCCCAGTCGGATGGGCGCCATACTAGTCTAGGCCTGACATCATAAAGGTCGAGCATTGTGCAGGCAAAGTGTATCCCATTCTCCGGGCAAGGAGGCCGAGGTCCAGCCAGAGAAAGCGATCGGACCCGTCGACGAGAATCAGGAGACGTGTGTGTCGACATGTGGGCCAAGTTGAGGAAGAGATGACAGCAGCTGTCGTGAGATGTTGCCGATGATGTACACCGGGCTTCGGTTGTGCCAACACTCGTGTTTCGCCATGTGCAAATGAGTATGAAGGGGAAGCTGAGTATAGAAGCCTTTAAACTTCAGGACGTACCCGAGGGAGGGATGGAGGGAGGGAGGGAGGTACCACAACATCATCGATGCAACGATGGTGCTGCAAGAGTAGACTTACTAACTGACATTCCCACGTCCAACCAAAACTACCGACTTCCCTCTCAGAATTCTCACTTTCGCCTTCCTTCGTCCCTTCCGCACAAGAACTGCACTGACTAAGACCTTAGCGTCCCAGGTGACGAGTCCGTCCCTGTGTCCCAGATGCGAGTTACTGACCGAGAGACTCCCTCCCATCTCTTCCCATCCTTTCCTAGAAGGAAAACTACCCCTTCCACCTTGTGACCAAATCTCGAACATGAGTTTCTCTACTATTCATCTGGTTTGAGGATGCAACACGTGTAACATGTTTATTCTCGAGGAGCGGAAATATAACCCACAACATTATTTTGCGCCAATTATTCCCTAAATAAATTCAGAAGCAGACGAAATGAGGACCTCGACACAGCTCCCAGATAAAGTCAGTCTGTATTCTAAGATAGATCTTCACATCAAGTCACTCTGTACAGGCCAGGCTACGACCTTCACGTGCTGAGCTGAGTCGTGAAATGAAGGCCGTCGCCTGACGCACCTACGACGCTGCGCCGTGGCTAACCGGCTAACCGGAGCTCATATGAAGGAATATGGTCCGAAGAGAACCTTAGAACCTATCGAAAACAGCCCAAGAAGACTGGCCTGGCCTGTCTTCGTATATGAAACCCCGTCAATGTGCAGAAACACGCCTTTGTTACACCTAAACGCACAACGCAGACTTAGATAAACCCTAAACCTCCTCCAGATTTCACATCACTCGTCCTGAATGTGTAGTTGCAGGCCTTCCGACTGAAGAGGTTGGGAAGACAACTTCTGTATACACGTTACGAAGAAAATTAGAATCGATTCCATCGAGGTGTTTGCTAAGATCGACTACTGCGAGTGAATTGCATCACTCGCAGATCTCGTGTGGATCTTAGTATGTGTATATGTCTTTCCCTCGATGGAGTGCCAGGCACGGTAGCTCTTTGAGAAGCAGGACTTAAAAATCGATGGCCCAGGCGTTGACGAGATTCTCTTCGAATTCATATTCGATTAAAAAGATGCACACAAACATCAACTGAAGAATTACTCTCAACGCTGATTCCTTGCGACATTACCACCATAACTTACCCAAAAGTTGGCAGGAGCTTCAGGGACATTTGGTAATTGATGGAACTCAAGGATGGGCGGTTAGATGCGAAGCATATCACCAGCTTCAACTGCTATCGTCTCCCTCTGGTATCAAAAAATCTTCAATTTGGGACCTAGGTAACAGCAGGGTCGAAAATCAAACAAATTTTAATCCCGGAGCCTTCGTGTCCCATGGACACAACATTTGTTAAAGCAACACTCCAAATGCCACAATGACCAGGAACTACCTCTCTTCAACCAGTCATGAAGAAACGATAAAACAAGCAGTAGAGAGAGCTCAAAGAGATGGAAACTAGCTCCAGCATTCTCATCAGCTGATGCATTGAAAAGAAGTGGAAATCCTGCTATCGACATTGTGGAGGTAGAATTCCCATTCAGCTGGAAAAAAAGGAGGAGATTCTGAAGACCATAGAAATGGTAAAGTAACCGGCGCCGCTGAGTCATGCAATACACAATAGCTGATGGCAAGCGTCAATATGCCATACAGACATGAACAAGACTTAAGCAGAGGTGTAGCAAGCACGGAGAGATACAAGCTGCAAGTGAGGCATATGTCATCCATTCGGTCGCTGAGAGAAAACAGACAGAACAAACAGAAAAAGGAAAGTGAGAGTAGATGAAGGGTTGTACCCATGTATCTATATTGACCGATCCCTAGTTGCAGGGGCATGCAAGACGTAGGAAAATCATCTAAAAAAACACCGCACTCGCCGGAGAAAGGAAATGACAAACAAGCGTCGAGAACAAGTTCTAGATGGCATTCTTTCAACTGCACCTTCATGCAAGTTCATTTCATGCACTATCAATCACATGCAAAAGCAATCAGAAGAAGTAGATCAACATTTGCTCACCTGATCCATTGCTGCCGTTGATGAAAGTTCGAGGAGGCCGTGTCTCTGGTTGTTTTGGGAAAGAGCAAAAACTTTTCGGCCGCTTGGGTTCCTTCCTCCGGGAAGATCTGAAAAAGACAACTGGGACAACAAGTGCTCTTCATGTCCCCATACTGTCCGGAAGTATCTTCCTCATTTTGTTCGACGCTTTCTGTCTGGTGTGGTGTTCCTACCGCAGAAGCCATGTCACTGCTTTTCAAGGGGGCTCTGCAAATTGAGCAAAGAAACTCTGGCTCACGATTGGACTTCTCTTGAGATGTGTCATGATTCCGGGGGTTGCGCCGGCGTCTCGATGGAGGAACAACCTCGGCATTGAATCTAAAAGAGGTCAGCTTCGCGGCTGTGCGCACTATGGTATGTTCTCTCGCTGGGTTATCTTCCTGCCCATGTAAACATGAGGTCAGCTCCGTTCTGAAACAACTTCACTACAGATTACAAAGTCTTCAAACAACTTGAGAATTCCAACTGCTAGAAAAGATGGAGGATCTCAAGAGGAAAATGACAAACCTGGAGGAGGGTGATAAAATGATGGGCCAAATTGTTCAAACTGCTTCGAGGGTCTGTCATAGTCGTCAGTCCTCTCACGAAAGTCGTTGAGAGCCTGGACACCAAAGGGATGAGATCATTCAACTAATTGATTGATTCAATGAACTAATGATCGATCTCAGCCGCATGGGTTCTGGCGCAAATATTATCAAACTCAAGCCTGTTGACAAGAAATACCATTCGTAGGATCCTTCGATTAAATGAAGCACTTACTTGGAGAAGTGACAATGTAAAGCCAGTTCTCGAGCAACACAGTCTCTCAGAGGTAGCACAACAGGTACGGGCCATCTGCCATCAAGATACTGGATATATGCTGGCAATGAATATCCTTGTCCCTGAAAGTGATGGCGATTTCAGAATTTTCTCCATCTTCGGCATACTTCAGTACTTTGTTACATCGAAACCTATGAATGTTAGCCAGAATTCCATGGCCTTTGAAACATGGAATGGCATGTGAGAATCGTTGACCTCGTGCTCATGAGGGCAAAGAATACCACGCCAACTTACACTAACTAAAGAAACGAAAAGGGTCTCCACCGTATGCACGAGAGAAGTTGAGTCATCCCAGTAGTACGGCTGCAATAAAACCGACAAGCTTACCTTTGTAGTAGCAGCAACAACTCGCGCAGCAACACGAGTGGCAGTGAGGGCGAGGACCACTTTGGTGTAACCCTGACTTTGAGCTACCACTTGAATCGCCTGCATCCTCAATGACTCCAACAAATCTTCTCTTCCAGTCGCATCTTGTACACTTTCAAACAATTTGGACAGCTTCGATTTGGGATCTGCTGTATCTTCCACGAGTTGCAACCTGGCAAAATTATCGCCTCCATTTTCATGGACAAGTGAACTCTCAGTTTCAAACACACTCTCTAGCTGCACAACGTGGACTGGAATGCCTTCGTAAATCTCTTTGATCGCAACCACTGCAGCCTCAGCATCCGTTCTGGGAAGTTTCAAAACCGTAGTTTCATCAACGTAAACAACACCGAGGCCAAACACTTTGAGAACATGATCTTTGGCTGCATCTGCGTCATTTTGAGCCTTCGATCGAATCTCTTTCAACATCTCGACTGCCACCCTGCGTGATAACGAACACGCACATGATTATGAATTATCTGTAAGGGCTATATCTGAAGAGGTCAAGATAACTGGGAACACTGAAGTCCACAATACGCATCACATAGAAAGTGAAAGCTCTGTGGACGTTTCACAAGAAAAATTACTTTTTCATAATCAAATGACAGAATTGTATGGTGTACAGGCATCACAAAGTTATCAGACGAATCGAAGTTACATGAAATAAAATTTAAGGATATTAAAAGCTCTAGGGGTAAAATAGAACGTATACTACCGTCTCGGATCATATCTGGCATGAGAGATACTCAGCTAAGACAATTCTACTTAATGTTCTGAAATTGAGTAGAAAATCCCTCCAGGTATCAAGGCAACAAATGTCATCCCATACATGCTAGTAACTGAGCGACATCACAAAAGTAAGCTGGTCAGGAGGAGATTCGTTCAATGGGAACGTGCGACACGGACCTGGAAGATGGACCTCCCGAAACAGCAACGAGCACATTGTCTGCAGGCGTGATCAACCCATGATTGTTCACAGCTGTCTTGAACTTGGAAAGGATGCTCACATGTAGACACCTGGCACACATAGGCTCAGTTTGGTTTCCCACCGTGATTGCGGGAACTCCATCTTTGCACTTGATGCACAATCGAGGAGCACCAGCAACAACAGCGGTCACCGGAGCAGAAGCACTACACGAGTTTCCGGAGCCACACCCTCCCCCATCTGCCTCGGAGCTCATGCACGACATTTGAGCAAGTAAGCAGCTCGTGTTCTAGCCAAACAAACAAGGTTGAAAAATCAGAAAACAGCCAAGGATTAATCCAGACTAGGTTCTTTCCCCAACACAAACTCTGGTCACGGCTGCCGAAAAGACAATGCTATCGTGATGGCGATTAAGAAAAATACTACGTGAAAACTTCAACGAAGATAACCAGCTTGATGACTTAGAAATTCAAAGCCTGCAGTTTCCAATTTCTCGAACTGGATGTTGGGCTAAAACTTAGGACCTGTCTAATATCCTCACAGCGAAGCGTAGCTGTCTCTGGAGCAGTCATCGAGCTTTCCAGGCAAAAAAGTTGCAACCCTGGAGGTTCCACTCATGATCCAGATGGACTCGCGATTCAGCCTCCAAAATTTAAACTAGAAGAACATATCACGTCTATGCTAAGCGGAGCCTGAATACGAATGTTCGAGGATCCAGGAATCTTCTTAAGCGTCTTCAGCAAAGGATACGAGAAACAAAGAGTTGACAAACGATGGAGAAATCACCTGAGCTGACAGCTTGCCCTTCCTCCGAAACCAGCTCTCCTGCCTACCAAAATTGGGCACAAATCTCAGGGAGCAGCCAAATCAGTTTGGGAGCCCCGGACTCTGCAATCTGCAGGGCTTTGAATTGCAAACCCTCAGAATATTTCTTACCCACAGCTTACAAATGATTATTCATCCTCCAGGGCTTTGAAGTTTGCACCGGCGATGAGTATGCATGGCATTCGGTCTGCATCAGCTGCCTAAGTTTCTTCATTTTCCCCGCAGGTGGAAGCGGAATTCACCAATTGCTGTAACAATTTCTTCCACTTGACGGACATTACCATGCGCTGTTGCCCCAAAGTTCTCCAACATTAGATAGAATCGAAAGCTCCCGAAAAGGACTGCCAAAGAATTACGGCCATCTAGCAACAGGAGGAGTCTACATTCACTTCATGTAGAGTTGTGTCATGGAAAAATGTTCGGTCGAAGAAAATGTACAGTACTTCTATGGGTAAAAGACGTTGTTATCCAAATCTTATCACCCTTGACTTGACTTGACAAGCCTTGTTACGCGTGTGAACGCTCTGCATGGAGTTTTTTGGAAGACAAGAGATGCACGATCTTGATGAATTTTAGTGTGACGTTAGACTGTCTTTTTAAAAATCGCCTATCTATATTTCGCTTATAATTTATGAAGTAGAATTATATTGCTCTGAATAAAGGTCTTCAGAGTGACAAGCTAAAAGTTTGCTTTATGTTTATACTGGTCTCATAAGAATATATCCATTGACTTGTAATGTGCAAGATCTGCAATTGTTTAAACCTGCAGACGTTTTTAATCTTCTCTTGACTCGAAGTAACTAGAAGTAAAGCCTTTTCGTCTTTGTAGTTCAGTGAATATTTGTACAGAAAGTTGGATTTGCTTGCCAAGTCTAGTGAATTTTATCTGAAAGAAAGTTCATCTAAGTACTTGTGTACGTGATGTGTTTGGAACTTGAATTGTATCTTATATTGAAGGCAGAAATATCTTCAGAAAAGAAAATCCTGCCCTTTTAGCTACTTTTGGGATTCTTGTGAAAAGTTCATATTAAGACTTAATGTGATATTTTCACAAGATTTATTATTGTTATCAACTTTATAAGTAAGTTGATATGTGATAAATTTCTTTATAAGCTATGTATTTCATATCTCACTTCTCTCGATTTGCATCTAGTCCAAGCATGAAATTTTTTCATATATTGAAGGAAGCAGACAAAGCGATTTTATCAAGTGTATGTTCTCTAGGTAATAAACAGAACTTCAGCACGTTTTTTAGAGATTTTGTTAAGATGAGAAAATTATTTCATACTATCAAGAAACACATTTTAAATGAGTTATTCACAGGCTCAAATGTAAGAATACATATTTTCGGAAAATAGTCTTCCGCTAAATCAGGTTATAAAGTGCTCTTTTTTTACATATATAATTCTATGAAATTATTTAATAAATTTATCCAGAAACCAGATTTAAACTGGTGACATGAGGAATTTCAGTTCTCTGCTCTACCGACTAAGCTAGATACTAGAGTTCCACTTTATTTGAAGAGGTCTGCCTAAAAGACATAGTTTCATGCATAGATAGTTTCAAAAAAATTTCAAAATATATAGTTTTGTAAAATAGCCAAGTTAACCTAATGTGATTGTCCGACACAAACCTTTAGACAGATATCTATGAATTGCATAAGTCAAATGCATTCTCTGTAGATTTGTTGGAAGACGAATCACTTCTTTGAAAATCACCACATTAGCATGATCAATATTTTTGAATTGTTAAAGCATGGTCTCCGAAAGGTAGAGGTGGGGGGATGTAGGGAGGGAGGGAGTCAATGTCATTGATTCGTGTATGAGAAATCGAACCTAATCCAAGCAACATATGAACTCAATGAAGGAGCATAGATTTACGGAGGCTCCTTAGGATTTGGAAACAAACAATGTCATCCACATCGATGATAACTGTACAATGTTTGGGTGGTCATGCTCGAGAGGGTGAGGGTGGGCCCTTGTTTTCATGTCCAGCAAACCACGTTCTCGGGAAGTGTTTCGTTGCCGGAAGATGCAAGAGGTCTCCTTCTTCTCAAACAGTCACGGCGGAAGGTTGCGAGAGAGCGTGCGTGGGAGCAATGAAAACAAGAGAAAAGAGAAAATGAAGAAAAAGATAATTGGATCAAAATTTTGACATGTAGCTGACTGGGTTCTTCATCTGTTCACTGTTCATGGTTGTGCTTACGACAAATGATATAGTCGTTTCAAGGAGAGAGTGCCCTTGAGGTTTAAGTCGCGAAAGGTAAAAGCATTTTGATAGTATTCGCTGTTGACAAAGAATGTCCCTTATGGACAACTACGTCGAGCACAAGTGACCTGATTAGAATACTGCTGCGCCACCCTCCAGTTGTACGTGGAGGATTTCAAATGACCCGAACAAACCGGAACTATCTATGTGAAGGGCTCAGGGGTTAAGCATCGCCTTGTCACAATTACGAACGGTCTGCGGATCACGGACACGCGATGCAATTTTGTAACTTGCGGTAGAAAGCGACTTTCGGTTTTGTTGGTGTTTTCGATCTTTTACGGAACTGGGATTTCTGCCTTGTGCATTCCACTCTCCTTGATTCGACATAGACGACGGAAGAAGAACTGGAAAGCTGGACTTCAAGACCGACCGGGAAGTTTTAGGGTCTTGAACGGTGCACAAACCGGCGGGAAAGAAATTTGAGGCGTTTAGCATTTGTCGAAGCCCTCTCCTTTGAATGTGAAGTGAAGTGAAGTAAGTGCCCATGGAAAGCTGGAACAGTTAGAGTTTCGGCGGTCCAACGATTGCGTAACGTGAATCGGATGGAGGTTGCGGTAATTGCAGAATTGTGCCAGGACTACCAGCTACGTCGTCGAATACAATTTTTGAGCTGAATTTTAGTTTCGATCGGGAACATATGGACACTGCACACGGATAGATGGTTAGATGGGTACACAGTCGATTGAAGGCACGTTGGCAGGAGAAATTGACATTATCAAAGTTAGGATGTGTCGTCTGAAGTGACGAAAATGGCTTTCGCGTGTCAGGATGTGGCCTCGTGCAATGATGAAGGACAATACATAGTTGGTAGCAAGCAGGTCCTTAGGAACTGTCGTCCAAAGGTGTAACATTGCGGAGTACTTACTGCAATTCAAAGTTGGAAAAGTTTTGAGTCTATTGTCGTTCATCACCGTGGTCTGGAGGATGAGTAAATTTTTTCACACAGGTATAGATATTAGCTTTAGTTGAGAAACATTCTGAGGGTTTTATATTCAAAACCCTACACATTGCAGATTCTGGGGGCTCCCCAACTGATGTGGCGCAGGTTGGCTGCTCCCAGAGATTTGTGCCCAACTGTTCCGGTGGGCAGAAGAGCTCATTCAGGGGTAAGGGCAGACTGCCAGCTTAGGCGATTTCTCCATCGTTTGTCAAACTCTATCTCTTGTCCTTAGTTTGATGTCGAAGATATGCGAATCCTTGAACATCCGGGTTCAGGCTCTGTGTGTATTGAGATGTTCTTGCTGTTGAAACTGTAGAGACTGAATCATGGCTCTATCTGGATTATGAGTCGAACCTTCAAGCTTGCAATTTATTATTTTATTTTGGAAACACGTGAAATAATTCTATCTTTCAGCGAAAAAGCCAATGACTTTCCCAGAGCCTTGTCAATTTTTTCCTTTTTTCGTCAGTTTTTTTTTCCTTTTTTGTCAGACAGTCCCCGGTCCCGTCTGATTGTGCCACGCCCTGCGGGCCTGTAAAGTGTGATAACTACTCCAGAGATGGCTACGCTTTGCTCTGAGGGATAGTAAACACGTAGTAAGTTGCTATCGATGATCAAGTTCGGGAGGTTGGAAGTCGCATGCACTGTTTTTCCAGTCATCAACCTGGTTATCTTCGTTGAGGTTTTTGTGTTTTATTTCCATGAACTGCCATCAGGAAGACGTGGAGGCGGGAATAGCATTATGGTTTCGATAGGCGTGATCAGATTTGTGTCGGGAATGGAATAGAGTCTGGATCCGGCCTTGACTGATCCCCGATTTTTTGACCTTGTTTGACAGATTGCAAGTTCAGAGGAGAAGGATTCTCCTAGCTGTGATGACAGTTCATTATTCTTCCAGTTGGGGAACTGAGGTTTTCTCTGCGTAAACTCTTGCGGGGACTCGGTGTTTGGAGACAATCTTATAAGGATTGCTACACCAAACTGTTACGTTATTCTTTTCGAACTCAGTTACTTACCTGATTAAAAGTTTCTAACTTTTAATCTAAATTTTAGTGAAAGGTTAGTGAAAGGTGAGTGTTGACGATTTGTTTTTAACAAGACACAATGGCCGATGCCAAAGATATACTAGGGCTTCCGAAGGTTGTCGGTTCCGGATCGGAAAAGCGTCGTTCCACAAAGGATGGCCAAAAGAAACCAGATGGAGTTTCTCGCGAGGTGAGCAGTTGAATGTTATGAATGTTAGGATGCTGATCATACGGAAATTTAGTCTGGTGTTGGTGGTTTGGTGATGTAAATTTTGAACGCATGTCACTCGGATTTTTTGTCCGCTAGGTTGGCTAAATTCTCTTTGTCGGGATTTTGTTTCTTTTCAATGTCATTCAGGTTTATGCCCTTACTGGGGGACTGCCTCCCATAATGCCAGCTTTGGACCCAAGTAACCTCAAGAAGAAGAAGCCAGTTGATTCAGTCAAGAAGGTGTGCATGTATTAATAGTTGTCGAAGTTTATACTGACTACCATATTTTTTTGATTCGAATCCAGAATTGACTAGTTTGCTTTTCCTTTCACTTTTCGTTTCAGATGTTGAGCAAATACTTCTTTCCTTCGTTTTTTTCTTACTTGCAGGTCGCTTGGAAGTGGAACCAATTTACATCTTCCGCTCGTTCAGATAGCCTTCAACTGAGACATTGGGTATTATGCTCTTTTCTAACTTTTTTGGTTGTTCAGGCAATATGTCTCGACGAATGGCTTTCACAAGAAGCTAAAAACTCCAACAAAATGATGACTTTTTATTCTTCGTCAATCTCAATATATGCCAAATTCTTGATGAGATTGCAAGACCAATTCATCACATTTATTTCAGACGTTCTAAATGCCTTTGTCTCTAAGGTTGATGTGTATCCAGTTGATCTTACATGCTTATCTTTGTACTCCTATGCAGGTGCGAGTGGTTGACAATGTTGAACCCATAGGAGATTATGCTTTTGCTAAATACAACAAGGTAAGATCAATCTACAGCTATATACCTTGACAACAATGTTCACTATACTCAAATTTAAAAAATGATCTCAATAATTGCATGTATGTGGTTTGGATGGAAACTCTACATGCATGCGAGATGAAGTAAAGTTATGAACATTGCTTAGCTCAAATTATTTAGCGGGAAAGTTTCTCTCATCTTACCGATTTATGTTGTGGAACAGGCGGTTGATGTCGTACGATACACAGACGAGGAGTACTCCAAGTATTTAACTGATACGGTATTGGCATATTGGAATTATGAGTCGGTTTTTGTTTTTTACAGATTTGACGCTAGCAAATAAAGGTAAGGTAAAACTTGTGAAATCTTCTGCTTATTTTGTTGTGATTCTGACATATTACAAGGAACAGCAGACTTGGAATAAAGAGGAGACAGACCAGCTTTTCGATCTTTGTGAGCAGTTTGATCTCCGGTTCATCATCATAGCAGATCGAATGCCCACTACCCGTACAGTTGAAGAACTCAAAGAGCGTTACTACTCAGGTAAGAACTCCGTGTTTTTGTAGTTATATTTAGAGACCGTTGTGCGTAAACAACTCACCTAAACCTTGTATCGTTGATTGTAAGATTTAAGTACGCTGAGTAAGCCACTATTTTATGTTGTTGTTGATTGCAGCTGCAAAAGCGGTTTTGCTGAGCAGAGCTGGATTGCCGGAGGATGTGGCAGACCACACTCTTATGAAGGTGAATTGTCAAAAGATTTTTGTTGTTTGATTTCTATTGATAAATGTGATTAAAAAGTTGTAGTAAGCGGTGCCTGTTTTTGAAACACTAACTTTTACAAGTGGGTTCTTTGAAAGTCCAATTTATTGGACTTTGATGCCTTGCATGATCTCTGTCATGGAAAGCAAAAACTATGTCACATACATTACACATCCATCAGTGTGATGTTTGTACCAGGACTTTTCCAAAGTATCGTGCATCCTGTCGGTATTTCTCATTTGAGCATTGACATACACTGGTCTGATACCATGGTAATTTTTGCTGAGCAGGATATTTATAATGTACAATACGAGACTGAGCGAAAGAAGGCTTTAGGAATACTTTTGTCACAGTCTCGACAACAAGAACGGGAAGACGCTGAGGTTTTTTTCCTTTCCGCTCATGAATTAGTCAATTTTTTTTAATTTCAATTGAAGTTTGGCTTACGATGAAGCGTAATTCTAAATGATAGATGAAGATTTTAGTTGTTTGATGAAGCTCTTGTGGACAATAATAATCATATATTGCTTGCATATGTAGGTTCTGGCAGAGGCCAAACGCATCCAAGAAGTCCGCCTCAGTGCCAAGGTATTGCTTCTTTGATCGTTTCTTGAATTGAATCTCATTAATAACGAAATTTGTTGGTTGACAATCCCCCTGTTATAACCAATTGGTAGAACTGTTTTCTATAAAGCTCTTCATCCTAAGGTGATAGTACTAGACCAATATTTGCAATACTGGTCTCAGTTCTGGGAGAGTGTCTGCAAATAATTATCTCATTGCTGACTTCTTTGAGGGTCTGGTGGAGCAGATAGCAGAAGAAGCCGAATTACCCAGCAACAAGTCTGCAGCGGAGACCACGGTGAATAACGAGATGGTTGACAAATCTCCGAGGACTCCTCTGCGTCCTACTTCTCCTGCACAAGCTGCACATGCTGGTCCCTCTACCGTGGCAGCAGCACCCGCTGCCCCTGTCCCCTCAGTGACTGCCGTAGGCACTTCACCTGCAATAAGCGGGCCACGTCCTGTAAGAATTCAACTCCTTCCTGGGTTCCATACTCTCGTTTCGTTTCCTCCTGTGGAAAATCCCAGTTCATGCGCATGCTTGATACCTTCAATTTTCATTATGATGCGCCTCACAACTACGAAAGAAGTGACTCGTTAGACATTATGGTCATCTTTTATGGCGTATATTTAATGTGTGTTTTCCAAGAGTTTCTGACATTTATACTGCACTTTCAGCCACGTGTGTATCTTCGATCAGCATATCATGCACAAATGGTTCAAAGCAGCGCAACTCAAGCAGGTGTACGAACATCGAAACGTGTGGATCAGTTGCTGGAAGACTATGGAGTGAGTTACATATTTTTGAACTCTTTGAGCCTTTTGCCAGCATTTTATGACTGTTGTCTCTTTAGGACCATCATTTAGCTGAACTTTTGAGAAGAATTGCTTCTAACGGCATGATCACATTTGGTCTCTTTAAGTGTCGAGCCAAGGTGAAGAATCCTACGAAGACTGTGTGTGAAGAACACATTGAGCTGCGGAAAGAACTGCTTACACTCATTCAGCTGCAAAAACAGGTACGTCATTTGTTGTGGGATTTGGGGTTTTTTCTAGAATTATCTAAAGTGTATATTTTCGGAATTATTATGTAAAGTATTTTCACCCGTGTTTTCAATACTTTCAATGAGAAGTTTTCATGCTCTTGCTGCTAGTACATGAAGGCCGAGTTTGTCTTCTAAGAGGTAAGTAAGGAGGAGTCTGTTAATCCTACTTTTAATTATGTGCAGTTAACTTGGAAAGAGAACGAGGTCTCTGTTCTCCGAGAGAACCCATATGCAGATATACCAACGCCAAGTACACCAAAGGCAAGTTGGTTCTTTCGTTTTTGTTACATGCAGTAGTATGAAAAGCTTCCTGCAATGAGAATTGCAATGTCGAATATTTTCATCTGAGAGATGTAGACGAAATGTGTGTATGGCTTTCGTTTCATTATTATCTGCGTTCACATCTTGTATTTTTATTGAAGCGTGCACACTGATATGCTCGAAAATATTGAACAGTTTGGGTCCCAAATATTACTTTCAATGTCAATTTTCTATTCTGATTTTGAGAGTACTGTTCATTATTCGTTGCATAGTGATGATCACCTCGTTGTTGTATTTGTGATAAGGCGGAATGATTCGTCGTTCTCTACAATTTTTGTAGAAAGAAAGTCCCCTTACCACAGTTTGCATAACTTTTGTAAACCGTCAAGCAGAGACAATGTAACAATTGCTACTCACTTTCATTAGCGTGAAGAACATTAATAATGACGCCTCCCTGAAGATAAATTCGACTATCGTGACAATGCAAGGAATTCCTGAACGCATACTCTAACTTGAAACTGAAGGATTGGAGATATCTTACATATTGGATAGGGAGACCAAATTTTTCGGTTTTTAGGGACACCAAACATGTACTATCTCTCTTTACATTGGGTTTCTCATAACTTCTGCTTTTCTGACTGTGTGTACGCATGTGGACAAGTCTGAAACTTTGGCAGAAGTCTTCCAGAACTCATAGGAAAAATGTCAATTTAGGATACAGCGTGTACTAATTAATCTTGTGGCTCAACAAACCATGTAGAGTTCTACAGAGTTCTTCAAGCCATGTTGAAGCCAGTATTGGCTCGTCATTGAGTGCTCTTATCCTTCATTGCATTGTAACAGCTTACGGCTTCATTGGGCCTGGATCCAATCTTGTCTAAAATGCACATATTGATAGATTTCCATCAACCCTTTCCTCAAGAATCTGGGCCGTGACTAAGTAATATTTCTGATAACAGAGATCACACCGCGGGAACGACCACGAGCGAGTTTTGACCCGAGCAACAGCAGTTGGAGCCGACACAGATTCATTTTCAGGTTAGTGGTGCTATACGTAGCCTTCTATTCTGTGTTTATTTTACTGTATTGTACTGATTTGCCATATATGATAAATCACCCGCAATGCTTCAATAACTCTATAATTGTATCATATCTTTCGCAAGTAGTGTGCTGTGAGAAATTGAACATGCAAGCCTTTGAGCTCCTTATCTTTTCAACTTGGACTTTGCAGGTGAAAGAGTGAACAAACGAGAACACAAGAGAAAGGTGAGGTTATTAAACCACTTGTATAAGTTTTTGATATTGAGAATGTTCACGCTGGAGAATTGCATGTCATATTTAATCATCAAATTAAGGCTGGGAACTTGCATTGTTAATATTTCGAGATCACATGTTCACCTGAAACTAGCAAAGGTGGACGAAGAGAAATTTGTTGGCCATGTATACTTCCATGTCTAGTCTTGTACGTGCATTTTCCTCCTGAGACAGCTTATCAAAAACTTATCTTTTCAGAGAAAGATCAGCTATCGGAGAAAAGACAGTTTATTTGGCCACCTCTGAGCACACCTAGCCTTCAACGTTGACCATGCTCATTTGCGATACATTTTTTAATTTATCAAAATGCCAGCTAAAAAGATACTTATACACCTCGGGAAAACCAGGAAATTTTTCTGTGAAACATGTAGAAATTGAGCTCAACAGGAATCTCAACCTTTTTTTGCTTGTCTGATAGGCGCCTGCAAGGTTTTCCGAGGCTCCAGCATCGCCTCCTCACCAAAAGCGCGCTCGTAAGATGAAAGCTTCTGACAGCTAACCCAAAGTAAGTAGATTTCTTTTGGTGATGCAGTTAATGAGTTGCAAACAGCACCACGGACTAGCGTGTTTTGGAATCTTAGCTGATATCAAACATGCTTAATCTGCCTCTGTAAGTCGCGTGGTAGACTTGACTTGCCCATCCTGAACGAGGTTTAAGTTTCTTGAAACTTGGATGCTGGCTGCGCAGGCTTTTCAGAGCTATTTCTTTTGCATTGGGTTAGAATTGAAGAGTAGAGCAGTATATAGTCAAGTATCGAAGCAGGCTCGAGCAAAGAGACCAAGCAGAACGGGAGCGTCAGCGACACCTGTACCAAACACTGTTAGAGATATCGGCCATCAAATTACTTTGCAGAATCACTAAGCCATTCAGCTTTGTCAAGATAATTCTGGTATTCTGAGCTCCTACTGAAAGATATTGAAATCTTTCTCGTAATTTAAGGTAGAGCCACACCTATGTTTGGAGGTCCTTTTGGTGAATGGCTGTTGCGCAGCTAACGGAGGTTACAGTGAAGGCTTCACTGTGCTGAGGCATAGCTCCTGTCACCTTTCACGAACAAAGAGAGGGCCTGAACGACAAGTAAGGTTCTCGTCTGATCTCCTTTCATGAAGGTATAATCTTGCGTAAATTTTCTCACACATATTGTCATTGAAAGTCCAGCCGATTTTTTTTGTGTGGGTTTAGTACAACAAGGACAACAAGGGTCTTCGATTTTTTTAAATACAGAATCTTCTCTTCGAAGGAAAAGTTTATGGGATGAGGCCAAGAATATCGCCCTTATATTGTCATCGTGAGGAACCATTTCAGTTTTAGAGTTAAGACTAACGCCTTAATATCGTCGTTAGTGGGTTGTGCAGGCACCAGGCTAAATATTGGCAGAACTGTCCGTCAGAGCAAAGTTACATGTTTTTTACGGGTTCTACCATTCAACTTTTGAAACGGCTGTTGGTCAGAGGAGATAACAGAATCTAAAAGGCTCTGAAGCTTTGAGGATAGAGGCGTGGCGTGGGTCTTTGCTCAGCAAAGCTTTTGTAAAAATCCTATCAAGGTTTTGTTTCTGCAGTTCCACTTTCATCTCTTGCCGCTGTACCATACTTATTACAACAAGCGCAATGAAATTGCAATCTTATCCTCCTTTGGATGGAAGGTGTACTAAAGCGCTTGTAGGAACGCTCTTGATCCCGGACGGTGTGAAAGATTTGCAACTTGTCGGACACAATCATGGGATATGGTCGCAACTGTCCCTTCACGACCTTTTGTCCCAACAAAAATTGTGGCGAAGAGCTCAGCTTTTGACAAGAGATCTTCAGATCTTGACAATCAGGCTAATCAGTTCTAGTAGAGTCTGGTGAGGTAAGCAGTTCTGTGACAGCACGACTGATGCATGAAAATAGAGGCTGGAGTTCCTAGGAGTCTCTTGAACGTATGATGTGTTTGGATCCACTTTTGACACATGAGAACTTGCTACTATGGAGTATGGAACTTGCGCTTGTAGCTGTCGATGTAGATTTAAACATGTGGCATTTAAGAAATCACAGTGCAAATTTATATTGACGTTAACGTTATCAACAAATTCACAGATGGGTCGATATTGTTGATTTGAATATCTACGCAGGCAATAACTGAACTTTATTGCAGCTACTCACTGACTACAGCCTGGAGGACTGCAATATAAGACGCTGAAATCTAAAATGAGTAGTTTAATGGTTTACAATTCACAAAATTAAAATATTATTCGTATACAAAAAAAGATCCGAAATTTCACAGTTCACAACCATCGCATAAAGCTCTTCGCGCGATATCGACTATATACGTCTATCCGATAGAATTAAAGACAGCCACGTCCCAGAGAATAGTCCAAACAAATAGTTAATTGCTAAATTTGCCTCGTAGTGAAATTTTCTCAGAGTGGAAGAATCTAAACATCAAAGAACAAACGCGCAAAAGTGAAGGATCAGAGATACTCCTAATTGTGGCCATAATAGAGAAGGCAAAGAGAGGAAGCAGGAGGCTGTTGACGTCGGATGATTGCTGGCAAGCTTTAATGCACGATGGCCCTCGACTGTGTAGAGCAGGGATGGTTACCTGATCTCTCGCTGATTCATTTGATATGGATGCTTATTTGATGCAATGTAAATGTGCACGATATTTTCATGACAGAACTTTCAATACTAGTATCATACGTAAAGCTCCTATGAGCTCATTGGTTCTAACGGATCTACTGCATCACACGCGCTACCATGTCCTGGGTCCTGTTCACGTGCAGACATTGGGTTCTTTCTGCTGCACAATGACATCGGGAATGCTAGATGGGAAAAATACATATTTCACACGGGTCAAAAATACCGGCCTCGCGGCACGTATGGAGATAGAGGCAGAGAAACCACCGTTGTCCGATGACGATGATGATGAGCTGACACATGATTATCACGGATTATCATAACAGACACCAAAATGATTGGAGCCCGCAGCACAAATTCATAACTTCGAAGCCTACTGCATTGAGCTACTGGTTCATTCTCATGAAGAGAAAGGATGGCTTACAAGATGAGGAGACCATACTCCGAGACTGAAAAAGTGTAACCGTTTATCTCTTTGAAGTCCATTCGGTTATGTTCTCATAGCATACACAAACAATATTGGAGCTCAAGAACGATTTGAATAAGTGAATAAATTTCCACTAATTTGGTTAGGTTCTGATTACAGGCACTAAAAACATTGCAACTCCAGTAGGTTAACGGGAATTAATTACAACGCATTTGTTTCTGGTCGTTATCTTCTGAAAAATACGAGAGCAACACAAAATCTTCAGAAACGTATATCCTAAATTTTCACATATTATTCTAAAAGAATGACGTGAGTATCATCTTCTGCCTAAATAGCTACCTGAAAACAAATGTTTGCCTAAAACTTTAAGATTTCACAAAAGAATGCTATTTACCAAGTCCTGCGATGAGGTAACACATTTTAAGATCAAATTTTGGCAACCATTTGAAAAATGTAAGAGATCGTCCAAATTAGCCGTCTAATTGTATTCTCTGAATCAAGTAGGTGCTATACTCCATAAAAAAATACTCAATTAGCTACTAGGCATCCTTATGGTAGACGGTGATAACTGACTAAAACTGGACTAGTGAACTGTAACGGTCCAGAATCTACTCTACATTCGGTTATGTTCTTATAAAAGACGACCGAAAAATATTAGAGCCAAGGCAGGATATGAGCCCGTAGCGTATATCTATGTCTATACTAAACTAAAAAAAGACGGACTCTTTCCTTTTAATGAGTGTCGATGAATTAGATGTCGTGCTCTCCGGTAAGCAACAGTTACAGGAGAACAGAGGAAAAATTCTGAGGATACTTTATATGGTCCAAAGGCGATTGGCATAAATCTTTAATCGACTACAGGCAAGTCTCCGGGATTGGGCTTTATGTAGTGATATGATAAGGAGCCTTCGTGTGAAGTTTTGTATTTTTGGCATTTTGGCATTTTGGCATATTTTTGGTTTTGTACATCTCTTTGTATTTGTGGCATAACAAGAGACAAGTTCCTCGTTCTCAAACATAAATATCCAGTAAGGTCCAATTGAAGGTGCACCAGTTCATGCCGTCAATACTTGTAAGGGTCCGCTAAAGATACTACGATAAAAGATAGAAATATAGAATTTATACTCCCCATCCCACCATCATCTGGGACGCTTTGGCCGAGTGGTTAAGGCGTGTGCCTGCTAAGTACATGGGGTCTCCCCGCGAGAGTTCGAATCTCTCAGGCGTCGTCCCGCACTGTGGTTTTGCCTCCGAAGTAGCTGAACCTCCCGTCAGCCCAAATTGTTCCGGACACATATGGCTAGTTCTGCACGGTTACTTCCAGTTTACGAATTAGATGAAGTTCCTTCGGTTGGGAAATTCTTTCACTATTTTCAAATTTTAAATTAATGAGTGCTGGATGTTCCCATACCGAAAATACTTGTTTTGTCCATCCCTCGCTCTCATTGAAATCAGTTGGACACTCTGTGAGTGAGAGACTTAGACCGTATTGAAATCAGTCCTGGACCGTAGTCCTCTACCCTTGAACAACATTCGTGACAAGAAGGATGAGCAAAGATGACACCGGTCTTCTGAAGAAGAGGAGCGAGTATTCTTCGAGAATCAAGGGAGCCCTCCTCCTCTTTTCTCCTGCGAGCACAAGAGAATGCGCCAGAGGGCATGGGGAAATGAGTAGCTCAGATTCTGAGTCCACGGAAAAGAATGCAAGTCCGGTTGGGCACCTTGCAGACCAAGCAGGAGGCTGCTGCGGGTTAACTCTCTGGAGTTCTTGGGTCCCAATGATCACTTTCTTTGCAGAGTTTTCATTCAGCCCCCTATATCTGGTCCCATTACTATATGTAAGCCTCTAATTTAGGTCCCTTTCTCACACTCTTTTCTTAATATCTCGTAAGGTACAAGCTTTTACTCTCGTCCTGCTTTTACAAGTTTTTGATCTTGCTGTTTTTTTTCTATTGTAAACGGATTTTCAGTTTAGACCATGTACCTGTTTGATTTCATGACTCTACGATTCTATCTCGCTCTGGTCCATATTTTGTTACATGGATTGCTTTACAAGATGATGTTATTGGACGGTAAACTCTCTGCTTTGGAAAGCTTCTTAGTGTAGTTTCAACACTATAGTTAGTATTCATAGTATGGTTCGTATTAGTTTAGAGTTAAGTTTCAATAACCTCGTGGTATTCACTATATATTTCTCGTCTCTCAATAAGCATCTTGAAGTTCATTCTTTATTTCCTCAATTTGAGTTATGTGAATACTCAGCTTGTTCAACTCTAATACCATGTTGAACAAGCTGAGTGTTCATAGAATGATAGACGAAACATATATAGCAAAAACCACTAGGTTCTCAAAACTTAACCCTCAACCCTACTCTAATACTAATCATATTAAGAAGCTTCCCATGAATACTAATTATAATTTTGACACCACACTAAAAAGTTTCCGAAGCAGATAGTATTTCGTCCAATAACCCATTTACTCAAATGCTAAGTTTGTCCATCAAGAAATGTGGAATCAGATACCTCTAATGGAATTCTGAAGTTTGATTCATCTCTCTCCGTCTCGAACTTGCTTCTTCCTAATGCCTAACCATGGCAGCAGGCAAGCACGCTGTTCTGGCGACCGATCGTTGCTCGGTCGCCCGCCTCACGCGATGCCTTCCTCACCATCTCCCCGGACTCCTCTCGCTTCCGCGGAGGAGCCCAGGACAGAGACTCCGCGCTCCGAGTGGACGTGCCTTCCACATGATCCCGGCGGTCCTCTGCGAGAGCCCCAGATCCTTCTCTCCTACTTCCGCTCGGGTCGCAGGCAGCCGCTACGCTGCCCAGGTGTGAGATGTCCCACCAAAAACACTTCGTACTCTCTCTGTTTGAAACCTGGCGGGACTTGTAGTTTCAAAATCTTTGTTGTACGTTTGAGTGGCCATGTCCTGAGAGCTGTTCATGAGCTGTCTTGCATACGGGTATACAGAATTTACATCTGTGTACACAAAGAATGCGATTCCGTGCATGAAATACAGCACAAACTAATTTCTCATTAAGATTTCTTGAAAGAGAGATATCAGTTTCAGATATCATATATCAGTTTCTTGAAAGAGAGATATAAGAGACGTATTTTCGGATCACTGAGACTCTCTCCTACCGTGTCAATTACTGCGATCAGTTCTGTTGTTAGCGGTCTAAGTCCGATCCACCACGCACCAAATTTTGTGTATGGGCAAGAGCACAAATAAAAAATAGAGCTTGTAAGAAAGAAGGTTTAAAAGTTTAGCATTTTGAAGGGTAGCCTTTATAGAAACTAAAAGGTATCATATTTGATGACCTCTCACAACGCAATATATGTGGATTGTGATCAGTTTATTTAAGGAAAAGAGGTTGATCATTACAGTAAGGATTTCATTCAGCTGTTAAGAAAAGGTAATATTGTGGCATCTCATCTTTTGACATTGTAACCACAATAGACACGTAAGAGAATAAACTAGATGCCTGTTTTGATATTAGACAAATCTCATCTAGAATAAGTGAACTGATTGTGATACACTCTACGTATAAAAAGTAAAATATCTATAACATTATGATTCTCCATAAATATTGATATATGCACAATAATTTCATGTCTTACTTATCAAACAGGAAATTTTTTTTCGGAAGAATTGATTCCTGAACTAGAAACATCTATGTTAGAAAGAAAATCTGCACTTTGATCTTTCGTTAGCATAGACATTGCTCTACAAACTCCAATACATAAAGCCTAAATTGGAAGGTTTGTGAGTCTAGCTAGCTTCAACAAAGTGGAGCTAGTGCAAGATATTATACCATTTAACGATTTCTAGACAGCTCTCATGGATTTAGACCGGGTAGATCATGTCACTCTGCCCCACGTTTTCACTATTTGATAGACAGTCACCATTCAAGGGGATTATCTAACTGCTTCGACAAAATACCACACTCCACCATCATGAAAAGGCTGACGCCTAGGATATAATATCGTTTTGGCGGGGTTTGGTTATTTTTGTCTTATCTTAAATTTAATCTTTTAATTTTGTAATTTATTCAGTACTGGTTGCTACCATAACCAAGAAGATATTCTTTATCTTAGTAGAAAGACTGCTATCGCACTCCTGGCAAGTTGCCACAACACCTCGCTGAGCACGACCGTCTTGTGATGGCAGCCCCGTTGACTGTTGGTGAATTAACAGGGTTGTCCGGACGAGATTCTACCTTATACCCTGACTTGAGGACAACGCAGGCTCATCCTGTCGTTAGATGTTCAGTCTATCCATCGCTCTCTCATTCAAATCAGTCAAGACACTTTGTGTGAGAGAGATTTGAAATCAGTGTTCGACCGTCGTCCTTGACCGTTGAGCTGCAACGCTCGTAGCAAAATGCCCAGAAGGTTGTGGAAAGGTGACTCCGTCTTCTTAAGAAGTGAAGGAAGTCTTCTTCGAGAAGCAAGGGAGGCCCTACATTTTCTCGTGAGAGTACAAAGGAGTGCGCTAGAGTTTATGGTAAAATGGAAAGCTGAGATTCTCGATCCACGGAAACGATGTCGAGTCTCACTGAGCACCTCGCAGACCAAGAAGGATGTTGCTGCAGTTCATCGATACTGATGCTAACTTTACTTTGCACAGTTCTTGCTTAGCTACTCATTCTAATGCTAATGCCATATATACTCTTATGTTTCTCTGTTTCTCTTTTTCTACATTTACAAGTTTTTGATTTCTGTTTTCTGTTGTTGACATAATCTCAGTTTGCTCATGTACCTGTTTGGTTTCGTGCCTCCACTTTTCTCTGTCACTCGGGTACATATTCTTAGAAGATGAGGCAGCATATTCCACTCAAAACTCAGACGTGCTATTCAGATGTGAGCACTTTTTCCGTGCTTTGAAGTGGAAGGACTGACTGACAGATAGGTAGATTGGAGGTTGAATATATGGGAAGAAAGAAGCATAACATACAGTTTGATTTTGATTCGTTTTTTAACAATGCTAATTTTTTCGGCCCTTACGGTCGAAAGTCGTAGCATCAGGTAAAAAAGTAAAGTCGAAGACAGCAATACTTCTTCAGTATTCAGTTGCGTATTTAATGTGGGGACAATACTTCAACAGGCCTTAAATGGAGAATGTAATCATTCTGCTTGCTCAATGTGGTCTTACTTTGGTCAATTCACAAGTTTTGATCTGATTCTAGAATTCAACCAGTGTCTAGCTCATGCAGTCTTGTTCAGAGTTTAGAATGCTGTTTCTTGCAGGATTCTACTGCTGATGTGACAAATAATAATTCCAATTTTCCTTCAATTGGATATGGACGCCTGACATATGGATCAATTTCTAGATTGGTGGGCGTGTGAAGCACGAGGGGAAAAGCCAAGCTTTTACTGCTGATTAGCATTAGCCGTGATTTCAGCTGTTTGGGTGCAACTTGGCACACCCTGTTACAAAGTGTGCAAGCTCTTGTACGGTGGCAGCTCGAGGATTTGGTTACCTTTTCGTGTAAATAGATCCTGTATTAGTAGGCCTCGTTCAGCATGAGAGGTGTTTGACGTGTTTCTTTCTGCTAAGTAAGTTCTGATGCTCAGTTCACAGTGTACGGAGACACTCTCAACAGGCCCAACTTTAAACTTCATTCCAGTCCTTTGATTCGGTTGCATCATCTTCTCAGTAATACATATAATAGAAGCCAAACCACGAATAGAGAGTAATATCTTTCCTTTTTTAGCCATAGGATGAAATTCACGGGCTGCTGTGGGCCGCAGTTACAGTTGTGTATGCATCTCTCACGCGTTTCCATTAATCCTCGTCCGAGCAAATACGTGAAATGAGTTTCAAACCTACTGTAATGTTATTGTACCTTACGTTTGTGACATTCGCAAGCATGTGAGTATACTCCCTAATGTGCCCATATTTAAAGTTCACTTAATCTGGGGAATTGCTCTTCTTTCTCTTTTCAGGTACTCGTTTGAGAGGGTTTCATATCTATTAAGAGTGGTTCAGAAATCGTTGAGGCCCACAATTGCTTTCTGTTTGTTTTTGGAAATGAGTAAAACTTACATAAATGTCGTGGTACAGAACTGTATATACCACCAAAATTGTATGAGTCTTCATCATTTCCAAGAAACTACTCTTTACTAACGCTTGACATTGGTGTCGAGGGAAAGGTTTTCACAAATCACTCATATTCACGCGATGCCATCTTGAGTTCTGGCATTTAGCGGCAATACTTTTGGACTTTCTCGAGGTTTTTTCCAGTACAGTCTCTAACCAAGGATTATCGGTGAGGAAAAGGTTTTCACAAATCACTTATATGACCCGCAATGTCATCCTTGAGTATTGGCATTTAGTGGCAATGCTTTTGGACTTTCTTGAGGACTTTTGACTACGAAGTCTTATCACCAAGGATTCTCTACTACAGCGTCTTACCGAAGATATGGGGGTTTTGGTACCTCCAGGTTGGAACTGAGATTTCTTTGAGAAATTCTTGCAGTCGAGGAGAACATGACTCTCAAAGATATGCTCGTTTGAAGTCCAAAACTTAACTGCAGACCCTGGATACCATGGACAACGAAAGCTGCTCTTTGGAGAATATTGATTAGCTAGGGGATAAACACTGGAAACAAGAATTATTTTGTTCCCAGTCTTTATCTTGGAATGATACGAAGTTGTGCAAAGAGTAGCTGAATCAAGCTCGAATCTAGGTTTCAGTCCAGAGTCGGAGGAGCGAGTCGAAGAGCATAAGGCACCTCAAAAAAAGTGCATAGTTTCCCCAACATAGTTTGTGTTGGACAGTGATAAGATTGAACATATCTGATGAGTTTAAAAAATGACATAGCAATCATGAAGCTGCAAAGCGTGTTCAGCATTTTGACTCAATTTGATAAAAACTCATAATTGCCATATCACAAGAACAAGCCATGACAGCTTTTGCAAACTGCTTGAAGCCATTTCGAAATATATGAGACATTTATACAGTTTTATTTGAAAATGTGATTTGATATGATTGTTGCTAGCCCTTAATGTGGAGAAAGAGCAAGATTTGTGGACTTTGAAATGCTGCGTTTTTACGATAGAACGAATTAGACTTTGCTTTAATATATAGGCACAAACCAGAGCAAAGGCTTGTGCTTGTGCGAATGACAAAAAATTTATTAAGTAAAAAACGACGAACGAAAACACGTCATTCAAAACGAAACAAGTTTGAATGACAAAAAATTTATTAAGTAATTTGAATTCATTTTTGTGCTAATAATCGCAAATGGTTATACGTAGAGTATTTTCTAGTACATAGAAGAAAGAGAACACATCGTTCAATCTGTTAGAAAAATATATTACAATGAAAGGCTAATGATGTGATAAATACCACTTCTTGATCCAAGCAATTGCACCATAACATAACAAGTATGGCTATAGTAAAACAAATGGTTTATTTATTTATGAAAAGTTGAACATCATGTCATCGATATATTGGTTATTTGAAATAAATAATTATATTAGAATAACTACATAATTTGATGTAGGATAATTTGATTCAAATTGTCTACTTACATCATAGTCCATATTACAGTTGACTCTAATTACTGTTTAACTGTTTCTAAAGTACAAGGCACGAGGCAAAGGCAACGGGACCGTAGCCCCTCGAACTCTCGTACCATACCCTCGCGTACGGCGTACGAGAAAAAAGTACGAGGACGAGATACGAGGACTAACCCTCGGACACTCGTACAATACGAGGTACGAGACGAGTAGCCTCTCGGACTCTAGGAATCTCACGTACAATACGCGTACGAGGTACTATGTAAGAAGTATGAAGACTACCCCCTCTGACTCGCGCGTACAATACGAGGTACGTGTACGAGGTAAGAAGTATGAGTGCGAGGCGAAGGCCAGAGTACATACCCCTTGGACTCTCGTACAATACCCTCGGGTACGAGGTACGCAGCTAGAAGTACGAGGACGAGATACGAGGACGACCCCTCGGACTCTCCCAAATCAGAAAAAATCCTTCTTTATTGAAGTTTTTACTTACAAATTCAAGTCAAATATGTAAGTTTCACAAAATAGTCTTTAAGTTTGAAAATAGATAAATTGATTCAAAACAGATGAATTGATTTTAAAATTAATTTATTTCTAGATTAAATAATTTAACTAGGAAATAGAATTTGGAATTTTTGTATATATTTTATTGGTGGTGTGTTACTGAATTTGGTTAATATGAGTTGATTTGATAAAATCATCTAAAATTTTACATGTTATGATCTATTTTGGAAATAATTTTATTTCTAACATTTTTTTTTCATTTTAAGAGACTTCACACATTTTTTAAAATAATGTTCAATGTTTTTGCAAATTTCACTATCAAATAATTTTTTTAGCATTGCATTCCATAATCATAGGCATTATTTCTTGTTTTCCTGATATTTCAAGAATTTTTTTCAATGAAGCGACATATCAAACCTCTTTTTGGAATTATATAAATATGACATATCATTTCTTAATGTCATTTTAGAATAAAAATCATAAAATGTCAATTGTATATGTTTTGTTTATTATCGCAACAGATGAACAGATTTCAATTCAGTTTTCTATATCGTATGTGTTTATTGACTTTATATCAATTAATTTCAAAAACACAATGACAGCGTGAAATTATAAGTACTGGAGTGGTGAAGATTAAAAAGATTAATGGTATCGTTCTGTATTGACAACTTTCATGTTTAAATTTAATACAAAAATTGATCTTTCAGAATGAGAATAAAATTTAGCAAAACAGTAGAGAAAATAATGCAATAATTGATTGAAAACAGAATTTATTTAACAATATTTCATCTCAACATCACATTCTATTCATTAATTGTTGAAGTACCTACGAATTTGATAACTCATGGACAGATTGCTACTCAAAACTCATAATCTAACGAACTCTTGGCCACATCATTATCAATAATAAGTGTTTTTTAGCTCATTCAAGAAAATCCTTCAGTTTATTTTCACGTGAAAAGATTTAAATTGCACATTTCTAGTCTTATTGTATCTTCTTACAGGAACTAAAAATGTTGTGACATAATTTCTCCTCAACTAAGAAATGGGTTTTTAGTCAGACATCTTTCCGAACTTATGACAACTAGCATAAATGACTAAAAAAAGTTTAAGGTATTCTGGATTTTCCGTCAAAAATCAATCTTACAGCATGTATACATATGACTTTTCTTGATTGTATCAATTGCACTATAAGTTAGAAGATTTGGATTGTGAATTAGATCAATGAAATCTAATCAATTGGTTGAATACCATATTGATTCAATTTGAAGAAATTTTCAATTGCCGCACAAGAGAAAATTAGAGAGATTTGCTTGATGGGACCCTTCAGATTTCATTTTACCCGATGGGACCCCATGAACGATCCACCGTCACCCATGTTCTAATAACAACTAGAGAGAGTGCAACAAGTCCACCACACCCGCAGACAGAGTGGACTTTGCACTCCATCACACTCGTTTTTATGTTGTCATTCTGTATCCGGCCACTCTCCAAGGAGACGAGCAAAGAAATGTTCATAAAGAGTTTATTTGTTCGCCACAAATGGGTGATCGCGAGACTTGAGCTCGGACCAGGCAGGGTTACGGGAGGAGTGTGCAGGTGGGAAGCAACAGAGAAATCCACGAATCTTTGCGATCGGAAGAATTGAAGCACAACAAATTGCACTTAGAGCAAAATCGATCTTTGTCCCCGTGATAATCCACCAGAAATTATAATCAGGTATTGATCTTTGATTGTAATTCCCGCATTGTAACTAGTAGTAATCGTAGTTACAAGAATTATGTCCGACGGCACACCGTAGTTGGGGTCCCATCGGGTAAAACTAAACCTGAGGTATCCCATCTAGCAAATTACTTTCCACATGGGTCCCATCAAGCAAATCTCTCGAGAAAATCATGATAAATTTTGGAATCTGCTTGAAACCATATCGAAACATGTGAAAGAATTCAATACGGGTTCAATTAAAATACAGTATTAATTTTAATCACTGTGTTACTATTTCTAGATTGCGAGGAACGAGGACGAGGCAAAAGCAACGGGACCGTAGCCCCTGGGAATTTCGTACGAGGTAAGAGGCAATAAAGGACGACCGTAGCGCTTTGGACTCTCGTACGAGGTTCGAGGTAAAAAGGACGAGTTATAAGAGTCCGAGAATACTCCGCGTACTCTCGTACAATACGAGGTACGAGGGCCGCAGCCCCTCGAAAGATTTGTGGACTTTGAAATGCTGCGTCTTTAGATAGAATGAATTAGACTTTGCTTTAATATGTAGGTACAAAACAGAGCAAAGGCTTGTGCTTGTGAGAATATATTGTAAGGATGATAAAAATGTGTTGGAGTTGTGGATATGATTTGCATAAGTCACATAAGTTGGAATTGCTTCTTGATAAAAAATAATTTCGAAATATGGAGTTCAACCTCATTAGTTAATAAGACATGAGTTCACAAGTTTGAATGACAAAAAATTTATTAAGTAATTTGAATTCATTTTTGTGCTAATAATCGCAAATGGTTATACGTAGAGTATTTTCTAGTACATAGAAGAAAGAGAACACATCGTTCAATCTGTTAGAAAAATATATTACAATGAAAGGCTAATGATGTGATAAATACCACTTCTTGATCCAAGCAATTGCACCATAACATAACAAGTATGGCTATAGTAAAACAAATGGTTTATTTATTTATGAAAAGTTGAACATCATGTCATCGATATATTGGCTATTTGAAATAAATAATTATATTACAATAACTATATAATTTGTTGTCGGATAATTTGATTCAAATTGTCTACTTACATCATAGTCCATATTACAGTTGACTCTAATTATTGTTTCACTGTTTCTGAATTACAAGGCACGAGGCAAAGGCAACGGGACCGTAGCCCCTCGAACTCTCGTACCATACTCTCGCGTACGGCGTTCGAGGAAAGAAGTACGAGGACGAGATACGAGGACGACCCCTCGGACACTCGTACAATACGAGGTACGAGACGAGTAGCCTCTCGGACTCTAGGAATCTCACGTACAGTACGCGTACGAGGTACTATGTAAGAAGTACGAAGACTACCCCCTCGGACTCGCGCGTTAGATCTATGGTATATTTATGGGATAACACGACATCGTATGATTGAGGGAAGGTTGAGCTGTCACGCTTAGGAGTCAGACGAAGAAGATGCTGAATTTCTGTGCTGGTGCCATCTTCCAAAGGCTGGACTACATGTTATTGCTCTCCTGGGTATCTGACAGAGCTCTTTTTTAATCAGATGGTATGGATTCTTCCCTTGGAGTAGATGTCATAGCTATAAGCTTATGGACGACTCTTTTGCAGTATCTTGTATTCCTTTCCTGGAGGCTAGAAGTAAATCTCTTTTAATCATAATCCAACTGATCTCATCCGTAATGTAATACATTGAGAACAAGCGGAGGTTGTAATTATAATGCTGTACAACATTGCTACGTATCTGGATTATGTGGGGAAATCACAGGGCTGAGCTTGCGGCAATGACATAGAAGAGTTCAATCCAATGGTGGCACCGTATAGGAATCACAGGTCTGCGTGTTGAAATCAAAGGGATCGTTGCACTGATATTTTTGACTTAAGGTAGCCGGTGGTCCCTGTTCCTGCCTCGGAAATAAACCCCAAATACTACACGAAGGATTGAAATCGACATATTCTTCTTCAACAGGTGAGTTCAGCAGTGCAAATATAGCCAAGTGTGACCACCAGCCAAAGCAACTATTCCCATCTGTTAACTGCAAATGGCGAATTTAAGTGTTCCGCTCTGATCAGTCACTATCTTCCAGGCATCATCGACAATTGAACGTGCTCATGAACGTACTCACTGTCTGAATCTAAGTTAGCAGACTTACATTAAAATAAAGGAGAGAGGTTACACACGTAACTGGTTTCTACAACGGAACAGCTAAGATTAGCTGTTCGATGGTGAACAAAGTTTAGCAGTTCTCATTGTCTGCAATGTTAAAATATGACATTGGTTATGCTTATTACAGTGGATTAGCTACTACAAACCAAAAGTCCGCGACTATAAGGAACATTGGGAAGGAACCATGACAGCTAGAAACTTTCTCCTTAAAATCTTGAAGTCACAAGATGTTCCCAGAACGATCAGAATGTATGTTAACCATTTCATAATGTACACAAAAATACATGTGCAAACGCAGCAAGATGGTAACAGCTTCGTGAATCTACTGTTCATAATTTTGAATCTACTCTCCACCGCCTCCGCCACAGCCTCCGCCTTCGCCACATAAGCGGTCTAACTCTATGTCACCATAATTTCTATGTCTAAGCCGACCACGAGCACGATAAGCACCAAAATCAAAATCCTAGTTCCCACCACAAGCTGTGCCCGCACATGCTGCGGATTCGCACTGGGCACTGGCCAGGTCTTGGCCGTAGAAAATATGGACGTCACTTTGGTTCCAAGGGATGTACAGAGATCTAGATTTATTCTCGGGGTCCTCATCCGATGGATCAGTTTGAGTCCACTGTGGAGAGAACTCATTCTTTTTCAGCTTGACCGCTCCTGCAATCCCACAAAAACTCCTGGTCTAAGTTAGAAAAGTGAGACTGCTGTCTATTCGGAGTCTGGACCACCTCGCATCATCTGCCTAATATAGGCGTACTAAAGTTGAACGCCTTCACTGCGCTTCAAAAGAGTCTTGGTTTTCAGGTTCGAAAGGAGAAACTGTTGTGGGATAGTTGGAATCAACGGGGGTGAACTTTGTACGTTCAATTGAAGTTCAGTGATGCACAAGCAGAAGACGAAGGTAACGAATTGTTGAGTAATGTCTGCCTGCTGAGACGAAACTTGCTCACCTAATTCACCGTCGGAGGCTCCACCGAGCCTCCGACGTTTGTAGCTCTTATCGACGCTCCAATTTGCGCTCTTGTTGACAGGAGTGCCAAACTCGTGTAAGGACATGGTCACCGCAGCAGAGATCAGAAGCACCAATACTGTGCTTTCTTCCGGCTGAACCTGGAGTATCAGGGGAAAATTAATACCGAATCGAAATATGAAGTGGATAAGAAGCTTCTTGGAACAGGTATGAAGGAGATGTGGTCTAGGTACGGATATCTGACTATTTCGCATACTGTCTTGAAACTGAAGCCAGCACAGCTAGAGGTACAATTCCAGTTGAGGTTAACACTGCGGTGTGTGTAGAAGCATTGTATAAACGTCCTTGTTCCAAAATCTTAAAACTATTCATCTTACACTTCTTACCTCGAAGCAAGCCTTGGTCAGGTTCAGAAGAGCTGTGGCTGTGCCAGTGGGAGCCTCCGGTGTATAGCGCATGAGAGTTAGAAACTTTTCCTTAGATCTGTCATTGGCGACAGCATACTCCATTCTCCTGCCTGAGAGTAATCTCATCTAAAACCACCGTAACGAAGCAAAACCATGTGCAATTAGCGGAGGCAAGGAAGAAAACGAATCCGTCAACATTCCTCTTCATATCAGAGTGATTGTGACGTAGGTGGTGAGAACAAATCTAAGTTTCTGCATCTGAGGATAACATTCGGTTTGAGATGAACTAAATCACTTGGATTGGACTTGGAGGTTGAAGTGCACCAAGCTTCTTACTCGGTTTCGACCTAATAGACCGTAGAGATCACAGGGCACATCATTCGTTGTTGTCGAGGGCTTATAGACAGTCAGAATCGCTCCGTCATTGAAGAGATTCCACTCTCGTATATTCTTGTTCTTTTTGTGGTACTCCGTAGAAAGAAGGCGGCATGTGGCGAGGTCTTGACCTGTGAAGGTCTCATCCAGTCTGAACCAAGATGGTCCCATAACTAACCACCGAGGACAAATAAACTTGGTGAGTTTGGAATGCCATTGATAGAAAAAGCGGGATAAGCAAGATGAATGTTTGAAGTCATGACCCTATATCTGACATCCCTATATAATCCCTAAACCCTGCTCTATCAGATTGAATGGAATTCCTCCAAGCTCTGTTGGATTCCTTATTCTAGAATGGTCTGCACCAGGTGTTTACAAAGTTCAGTGTCAAGTCAGCTCCTCACCTGCATTCGGATATTTTACTGCTTCATGTACGAATATACAGGATTCTTCACATTCAGATACGGAAATTCTGCATAAAAATCAATTTGTATCTAAAAGCCTCAGTGAGTTCATCAGAGCAAGAGGGTGTGCATCGACAGCCTGCAAGAAGCTTCCGTATTGTCAAGTTGCAGCTTCAAAGCGAACATAGCAAGGACTCTGAGTGGAAGCTGTAGTCAGATCTACCGAGTCACGAACCTCTGTTGAATTTTGTAGATGGGCGTGCCCTTGTGATTCACTACTGTCTTCGTCGTCCAACGTCCTTGCTGAGGAACAATACTGTTTCCAATATGTAGAGCTACCATCCTGTGGTTGTCTTCCGTCACTGGCGAATGGAGTGTGCGGAACAATCTTGGTGCCGGCCGAAATTTAGTTACAGATATGCAAAATTGCATTACCGCATTTGCAGTGTCGAGAGACTTGGATATCCTTCTCGACTCATGAAAATCAACTTCAACCCAATAGATGTTAACCGTGCCCAAGCTCGTGATTTTGTTCTGCTTCGTCGTGTTTGTGCTTGCCACGAATTCAGATATCTTACTCAAACCCCGAGAAGAACATCCAGCCTTCTTTCTGAGCTTGCTGGTGCGCAGTAGCTCGAATTGCAAACCTATCGTTCCCTGTTCAGCTTCCATCGCAATGCCATGATTCCACTCCACTTGATTCTCGCCATAAGCTTTCTTATTTTCTGTGTGGACGCTCAAGAACGGGCATCGCTGCAAGGCGGTCACCCGAACTTGGAAAGTGTCTTTCTGATGCACTAGCGGTTTAGGAAGATTTTTAGCGCTCAAAATCACCACGTGCACCTACAAACGTAGCCATCTTTCAGTATAGTGGAAACTCAATCCGCATATCATGAGCTGATATACCTGCGTCAACTGCAGCTCACGGCGAGCTAACCATGAGGTAAGAAGTCAGTAAGTGCAACCAACACTCTTCGCCAACGATGCCCAACACAGCCTAAATGGCTAACGATTGGACAAACATTTATAATAATAACCAATAATTGGATCCATCCTAGGGCACAGAAGCTTTCCAACCTTGGAATTATCGCCGAACTTTACTTTTCGGATCCATGAATCAATTCTCGACCAATTTTGAATGAAGTTAATATGAAAGGTCTCAATGTCGGTAGCAAGAGCCTGGACTCCCACCTGGCAGGTCGATCTCGCGTCCACGGCCGGAGTCTGTTCAGCATCAGACGTCATAAGACTGTCGTAGTGAGAAGAATTCCACTTTCCCTTTTCCGTGAACTCTAATATTGTCCTCTCCCTTCCCATAGCCCAACCGTCCTTCGTGTGTTTAGCAGGAGCACGCCTCATCGGCGGATCGGGTCCCCTGTACATCGCTCCCGCTCGTTCGTACACGGTCCCAAAAGTAGTCCACCACCTGTTGCACGAGTCGATAAAGCCCGTGTTCAGCTTCTTGCCCGCTCCTCGATCGGTGTCGGTGTCATCGTGGTCCAGAACTCTCTTCATCAGATTCGTTGTTTCTCGAGCGTAAGTGCTCGGGTGCAGCATGTGAGTGTGCCAAATGAGGTCAATGTCGAACGTCGGAACCAGGAAAACTTGAGGATCGTCTTCCTTTCTCGACTGCAAAGCTTGTTGCATCATGTAAAGGTATGCTCTATATCTTTGGACAGCCTCTTGCAGGAATTCGTCGTCCTTGAACCAGCTTCTTTGAACCTTGAAAACCACAACTGATCCAAGATTGTGAGCAACCGCGTCAGTCAAGACTTCCCGAGCAATCCAGCCAACTCTGCAGTCGATTCTCTTGATCGTTCGGTCTTATTCCGTCTACCTCAGGCTTGGACGACGTCTTTGGAAGCGAGTTAATCTGTGAGCCCGATGAGGGTCATGGAACAAACGTCTTCTAGGGCTTAGAACTTCCTGAGGCTTTTCGACACGAGAAACTCCCCTTCCTCTGAAGGCGAAGGGGAGTCTTCAAGGGACGCTCAGTCTAAAGCTTGCAGTATCCAGGTCCTTCTGGCCATTACTTAATCTGTCATGGGGGCAGAGAGAATGACTGTAAAAAATGTCGAGAATCATCGAAGAGAACGGTGGTATGTGACGCACACGCACCTGATAGAAGAAATGTCGCTGTCTGTCAGCTGCGGCGACGAGGTCGTATGACAGCATGGGAGGAGATAAAGGCCTCAGCTTAGCACACTGGATTTCAAGGACTTTTTGGAATTCATCACTCAGGCCGTCCTCGAAGGGCAGAATCAGATGGTATGGCTCGCCCGGGTACTCAGTCTGCCAAAATTCCGACGAAGCTTGTTGTAAGTCGGCCTCCGTGGAGTCTCCTCCGGGGACGGTTCTGATGTCGATGACCTCCCCAAAATGCATAATGCAGTCCTTTCCGTACCGCACCTGCAATCATTGAAAGAATTTTAAATGAGATCCTGGATTCCCAGAGCATGTGCGTTGCACTTAAGGAAGATCTTCGTCCGTGTGCAATTCGAGTTCGAGAGATGCCGTACCGGGTTGAGCTTGTGGCAATGCCAGATCCATGCGCAATCCAACGGCGCCAACAAGCAATCGATGCTCGTCTGGTGATCGTTGCTAGGGAATCCACAGGCCTGGAACTTGGATGCCAACGGCAGCCAGTAGTTCCAGTACCTACAGCGACAATGCACAATGTTTAGTCGAAACATATATAACATAGGCCTTAAAAAGTACCGAGCAATCTTCGAAATTCCACCGCATGAATATGCAATGCTAGTGAAACGATTCGCCTACCGGAAAACTGCACATCTCAAAAGTTCATTTTGTTGCAGTGCCGCGGTCTGATCTACAACCTCGAGGAACCGAAGCTGCCTCTTCGCTGCTGCAATTAAGTCTATGTCGATATGAAACCAGGCGGCAGATTGAGCTGTGTTCCATGCAGTCTGGCCGTCATAGAAGTCAACTGTATTCGTCGTGGACAAGGCCAATTTGTTTATATGCAGGCCGGCCTCTGTAGTCATCTGGTAGCCGGCCGCCGTCGTTGATTCAAGCACGGACGTGAAGTTAATTATAATGGATGAAGCTCGTTGTTCGCAGCCACTGCTAGCTAATCAGTGAGGCTAGACACAAATAACAACGCCACAAACTTTCCTCTTTTTTGTTTATGAGCGCCAGAGCTCGACCGATTCAGAAGCTTTCAGAATGCGGCTGGCTACGTTCCATCAGGTTCGTACGCGATACTTCAGATATTGTCGACAAAATTTAATGATTTTTTCTTGCGATGCACATTCTGTCACTGAGATGACAGTGAAGACTAATGTGTTGGCTTGCTTCTGCACGCCCTGGACAGCGACTGCTTCTTCGAGTGTGCATAAACATCTCGAATTTGTACTGCATCGAAAGGAGGGAACTTCTTTGTGACGCTCCACGGTCCGCAGTGAGCTCGATCGAAGGGTTACTTCGTGGAGCGAAATTCCCAAGTGTGGCGGAAGGAACAAAGACGATATTCCAATGTATTGTATATTACATATTGTATGAATCTCAGTATTCGGAAATTGTACAGTGATCGATATAAATAGATAGTGCCAGAAGAGAGTTGATATTCCAGATACATCCTCAACATCATCAAGTAAAATTTTTGAAACTCCAGTATCTCCTCTCGATCCTCTACGGATTCCATCCTAGCGAGAGCTTCGAGGTCAGGAAGTCTATGGATTGCTTCACACGATATGTAAGATAAGGCATTCCTCCGGCCCATCTTCGCGATGCTACTTGTGGTTTTCTCCCCTCCTGGGATGAGGCTTGGGCTCATGCCAAGCAGCAGGAGCTGCACTCTCAATATCAGAAAACACCATCCACTTGAGTAAACCTCGACGCACTTTTCGGTGCATAACCCTCACTTTCATTCGTCTAAGAGCGCTTATTTCACTTTATGTCCAATGAACATCTTTGTTTTAATGAGTTTAACCTCCCAATAGTGTCAACTCTTATTAGTGACATACTCCCAATAATGACCTAAAAGTGAAACTTCCAATAGTGACCTAAAAGTGAAGAGTAATCCATTAGGTTGTAGTTTGAAATTCTTTCAAAAAAGAAAAGTATGTCATTATTGATAATAGTGACATGATATCCTCAAATAGTGACCGTTTTCAAATACTTGTCACAAGCTTCAACGTTTTGAGCAAAATTTGTCCCAAGTCCAACAACAGAACTTCGTAGTAAAGTTTCTTTTTTCAAACAACATGGACAAGGATCAATCAAGAATCAATCCTGCGCATTTTGAAGCAGAATGCAATCTTTTGCTTCTATAAACTCTAGAAATCAAACAACCTTGATCGTACACGATAACTGTGATACCCCACTTTTGGTATTTTTGAGGAAATTAAAACATTTTTGGAAAACTGTACCACGGCAGCAGTGTAAATAGCCTTCGGTGCATCAAAATATAGTGAAATTGGAAGATCGCTGTGAGCACAAAACTGTGCTCACATGTCTTTTTACCCTTATGAGAGTTAAAAGTTTGGATTTAAGCTCTTGCAAAATTATGCTTGGGGTTTTCTGAAAGTTTCTACAAGATTAGGAGTTGGTGTGATGGTTAGGGGGCAAGAGGTGCGGAAGGAGGCTTCGGGGCAAGGTCTTCGGCGAAGTGCCTTCGGTGAAGTCCTTTCGGAAAAGGCCTTTGGCGAAGAAGTGAAACTCTCATAATGTTTTCAATGTGTAACGCCTTGACTCAGATAGGGTCTTGTTGAAAAGAGCTTGCGACGCTCGTTCCAACGAGACCAATAACTCTTGAAACGGATAAGGCATCACCTAGTTAGGAGCGGCGGAAGTTTCTGATATGGAGGGTCTTCGGCGGCCTACGCGTAGGCGGCCTGTGCACAGGCAAACGCCTTCGGCGGAAGGGTAAAACCGTGATAACGTTTTCAATTCCTAACGGTTTGCGTTGGTTGGGTCTTGTTGGAAAGGGCTCGACAAGCTTGTTCTAACGAGCCCAAGAACGCTTGGAACGGATGAGGAATGAGGGAGTTATGACTATCGGAAGATACGTAGACGTTCGCCTTCGGCGGAAGGAGTTCGCCTCCGCCGGGAATTCCGCCTACGCGGAAGGGAGTTCAACTTTTGTCCTATGCGCGGACGAACGCCTCCGGCGGTTGTAGGCCTTCGGCGAAACAGTAAAACCGACATAACGTTTTCAATTGTTAACGGTGTGCGTTGGTTAGGGTCTCATTGGAAAGAGCTCGACACGCTCGTTCTAACGAGCCCAAGAACGCTTGGAACGGATGAGGACTTAGGGAGTTATGACTATCGGAAGATACGTATACGTTCGCCTTCGGCGGAAGGAGTTCGCCTCCGCCGGGAATTCCGCCTACGCGGAAAGGAGTTCAACTTTTGTCCTATGCGCGGACGAACGCCTCCGGCGGTTGTAAGCCTTCGGCGAAGCAGTAAAACCGGCATATCTTTTTCAATTCTTAGCGGTTTGACTTGATTCTGGTCTCGTTGGAAAGAGCTCGACACGCTCGTTCTAACGAGCCCAAGAACGCTTGGAACGGATGAGGACTTAGGGAGTTATGACTATCGGAAGATACGTAGACGTTCGCCTTCGGCGGAAGGAGTTCGCCTCCGCCGGGAATTCCGCCTACGCGGAAAGGAGTTCAACTTTTGTCCTATGCGCGGACGAACGCCTCTGGCGGTTGTAAGCCTTCGGCGAAGCAGTAAAACCGGCATATCTTTTTCAATTCTTAGCGGTTTGACTTGATTCTGGTTTCGTTGGAAAGAACACGACGCGGTGGTTCCAACAAGACCAAGATCTCTTGAAACGGATTAGTGATCACTAAGTTATGAGCGTAGAAGACGGCTGTCATGGTTAGGCGAGGGGCCTTTGGCGTTAACATATAGAGGGGCCTTCGGCGTTAACAGTTAGAGGGGCCTTCGGCCCAAGGACGCCTGCGAGTAGGCAGCCTGCAAGTAGGACGCGGACGCCTGCAAGTAGGCGGAGGCCTGCGGATAGGCGGCCTGCGGGTAGGACGCGGACGCCTGCGGATAGGCAAACGCCTTTGGCGGAAGAGGAAAACCGTCATAACTTTCTCAATTCGTATCGGTTTGACTTTGTTAGGGGCTCGTTGGAAAGAACAAAACACGCTTGTTCCAACGAGCCCAAGAACGTTTCAAACGAAGCAGGGATCCGTGAGTTATGGGCGTCCGGGTGACTGTTATAGATAGGCAAAGGTGCGGAAGAGTGTCTTCGGCGGGGGGATGCCTTCGGCGGTGCGCGGAAGACAATTTCGGACGGCGGATGTTGACGTGATCATAAATAAAGACTGTACTGGTGTGGCAGCGGCGGGGCATGAAGTTGCACATGGGAGCCAGGCCGTTGCACATCATCGCGGGAACGGCATTCACGCGGGCTGTGGGTGACTCGGCCCTTGAACGTTGGAGAGGAATTTTTGGCCTCGGGATAGAGATCGTGTGGTGTGCCATTGTGTGGAGACGCTGGTGGGATCGGTAGGAGGATAGAGTGTGGACGTGAGTGATTTTTGCAGGGAAGTGGTGAGGATTAGGAGGGGAGTGTAGAGAGTTCGAAGGAGAAGGAAGCAACCTCTCGTGGGTGGAGAGTTGTATCGTAGAGTGAAATGAGAGTGGGATCTGAGATTGAGGTGCGACATTTGTGAGTGGGATCTGAGATTGAAGTGAAATCTGTGAGTGGGATCCGAGATTGAAGTGAAATCTGTGAGTGGAAGACCTGAGAGTGGGATCTGAGATTGAAGTGTAATCTGTGAGTGGAAGACCTGAGAGTGGGAGCCGAGAGTGAAGCGAAATCTGAGACTGAAATCTGACAATCGGGATCTGAAATTGAAACTGAAAAGGGAGAGTTGAATCTGAGAGAGGAATCTGGTGGAGTCTGAAGGTGGAAGCTGAGAAATCGACACTGAAATCTGAGTAGGAATTGGGAGTGGAACTCGGAGCTAGGATAGACCACAGCGGCTGTGGTATTGAGAAAGTCACCCAGAGTTGGGTTAGATCTTTATGTAACAAAGAGCTTGTCTGCTGCTCTTGTGGAGATAGCAAACAACAAGTTATTATTTTCAGTTCTAGATAATTTGTCTGTGAAAGAGCAAATGTTTATGATCTCATTGTCTTGAATACACTTTGACCACATGGTCGAAATCAGAGAAGTTAGATTATGGGAGCTCGAACCCCCACCCGGACTACAAACGCTGAAGGGTGGGGAGTTTAGGCTCACAATCGCAGAGAATCTCGAGAAAACTCGTAGAATCCAGGAGTTGGGTGCAATGTCGGGGACGGACACCACCCTACATGCGGGCTCTGAAGGAATAACTCCTTCGGCGCAAGGCGCGAAATCCGCCTTCGGCGCTACGCCTTCAGCGCTAGAGGAATCCTTCAGAACTTGTTCAATTCCCGAACGCCTTGTAATAACCCACCAAAGGCTAAAACTGCAGTATGGTGGTAAAAAGATCGAACCCACAGGGACAGAGGCAACACACAGAGTAAAAAGTGTCACGTTTAACAGACTTTTGGAGAGTTTGAATTCTCAGGCGACTGTCACTCCCAGAAATACTGCAGTGCTCGACTCGGAGGCCACTCGGAGGATGCTCGACTCGGAGGTCACTCGGAGGATGCTCGACTCGGAGGATGCTCGGAGGATGCACAGTGCAGCGTAAGTCACTCAACACACACACACACACACACCTGAAACTGGCAAAAGCACAACTCGGAGGTCGGTCAGGACCTCCGCTTCGGATTTCAGGGGGAAAGTAGCTCAAAGGTTCACTTAGAGGCTCTGCAGGTAGTGACTCCCACTCCGGCTTTTACTGCCCTTCCGCCAGGAACTAGCGTAGGGAACCCGGACTGGACTTCCCACTTCGGATCGAAGTCCCTCATACGCCGTGGACGTCACCCTCGACTCACACCAAACGCAGAGAGTACAGGCCCGACTAAGAACTCAACTTAGACACAATCCAGTAACACACACACACAACCTGAATTGCAAACCAAGGCTTACACGAAGTAATAAAACTTCACTTTGGCATTCAGGGGAAACTTCCCGTAGGAGTACAATCAGGATATGTCACTCGAAGGAGTAAGGAGGAACTGTTCAAGTCTCTAACTCGCAGCCGGCTCTGAGCATCAGAAATCACCCGCAGGTGCAGATCCGCACTACTCAAGTCTCTAACCGGGTACTAGCTCTGAACATTCAGCCGAAGGCCTTCAACTACAACATACGGTAACTTCGCTATGCTGCAGCTTCTCTACGTGGTGCCAGGACCAAATGCACAAACACGCCAAGAAAGTGAGTTCCTGATCTGCACTTCCGAAACTGG